AACACTGAGACACTACAGTAGCCATTTAATAAGACTTTTCCCACATCATTATAGTCGTTATTAATAATTGATTAAGAGTGATTCATAGTGATTCAATGTTGGTTCTAATGGTGAATTAATGGTCAATCAATGGTTAAAAATTGAGGTATAGCGAACAATAGTGGATGATTGATGGATAATTGATGGATCATTGGAAACGATGTGATAAACCCAATGCCAGAAACCCATCATTTGGGGATGGCTGGTATTGTTCCAATATATTTTGTGTTGCAAGAAAAGTTTGAGAGGTCAAAAAAATGTGAGCACGTATATCTGGTTCTGCACCACCAATCAGGCATGGATTTTCCGTGATTTTCCCTTGGAAGTTGAAGCTGCCGATTTTCAGAAGTCATTCTGAATGGGATTCAGCCATGTCATTCAGCCATGTCCGACATGTGTAAAAGTGGATGTCATGGCCAACATCTTTCCCCATCCCTGGAAAAAATGTGATCTCCATCTATCCCATCATATCCCATTGTACGTTTGACACCCCCGGTTTGACACCCTGGTTTTTCGTATTGGAATTGGATCTATTCATACAGAGGGGGGAGCTCAAGAATTGGGTGGCATTCGAATGTATTCAACTTTTTTTGGGCTGGATAAGCTTCATTCCTCTTACATCCCAATTTAATTTATATACCTAAATTAATACGCCCTTAAATCATTATTAAGAATTAAACTAGGGTATACTAGGGTAAATATACAGAAAGATGTGGAACACTCATAGTTTCCACTCATAGTTTCCACTCATAGTTTCCTCAGGAAAAGAGTCTACAAATGGCTGATTTTTCACATCTACGTTGGGTTTCTGGAGGGTACACCCCCCCAAAAGTGGATAATAATATATAGAAATTATAGAATAATATTATAATATCCCACTCATGTCCTGGTACTATCTCTCCCTTAAATCATTAACCATTACGTCCCCCCAAAAAAGGAAAAACATGGCCCAAAAACGGCGCCTTCTTCACCCTCCTCGCCACTTAACTTCCTTTGTGGCGTGGTAACTGCGCGGAGGTAGTCACCAACACCTCGGCTCCAAAGGTTCCAAGGGATAGCCCGCGGAACCGTGTAACATTTTTCCCATGATCAATCGTTGGGTTCATGATATTCATAAGTGGGTTGCAAGGACCCCTTATAAGGCAGGTTTATGAATTTAGAGTGTGGCATTTTGCGATCCATGAACTATCTATGGATCATCCATTTTTGTTGGGTAATATGTACCCCTATGATCACCCTCTAGTAATTCAACATAGCTATGGAAAATGGCCCATTTAGTTCGTTGATTTACCGAAAAACAAAATGGTGATTTTCCATAGCCATGATAGTTTCCCAGAGGGTAAGATGTTTGATATTGTTGTAACACACCAAAGAATGGTTGTGTCTGAAAATTGGGTAAGCCTTCAAATATCCAATTTAATCGAAGATATGGGAAATGATGATAGACCATACATGTTAGAATACCCTATTGTCAAACCAAAAAAAAACGTGCCGTAGATAATCGTAGATATCAATGGATTTCTTGGTCGATCGGGATTTCCATCCCAGATGAGAAATTGAGACATAGCCGACATGGTAAACGTTTAGATAGATGTGGAAAACCATCCATCCCATATGCTCCATGTATGGAATATTTACCAACATTTACCCCATAAATTAGCCAAATGTAGGTAAATATACTATACATGGAGCATCTGGGCATGAATGTAGATCATCTTCGGAACGGGTTTCCCCGTTGTCCATTTTTTTCCATTGGTGAACCACCAGGTTTTCATTCGGTAGTTCGATCCCCCGCTGTCTTGGCACGTTGTGATTGTCGCTACTTCAATCCCCTGCTGTTTCGGCTTGAATCCTTATGTTGGCCCATAAAAATGTACGTTTGTTTGTCTAATTAATTCACTCGCAACTTTCTGGCTGAATCAGAATCCATTTTGGATTTTTTATTATATCATATTATGCCGTCCCATTAGTTTACCACACAAAAACACACAATTCTTGGTTACCCGCCGGTAATTTAACATAGCTACGGAACATGGCCTATTTATAGTGGATTTTCCCATGAAAAATGGTGATTTTCCATAGCTGCCATAGCTACGTTGAATTACCAGCCGGTACCTTCCTTGTTTTTGACGACGAACACCGAGCAACGAATGCTTTTGTCTTCCTTCGCGCTGCCACCATCCACGATCTCTGTGACCTACCAACGGAACGTGTTTTTGGCCGCCCAGGGTGTTTCGATGGCCAACCTTGAATGCATGTAAGTAGTGAATTCAAATTTAAAACTAATCAGTTTGCCCACATTTTGGAACTATATATACTTTGTTAATGATATGGCCAAAAATGCTAAAGGTAATTCAAATTATATAGTTAACATGGCAACCGATTTGGCGTGTTTCTATGGCGATTTAACTCAATTAGAATCATGTTGATGCATTTGTGTACCTGTTAACCTTTAAGTAGGGCATATATATGATAATCTATATAAGAATATAAGATGTTCATGGTGTGTTACCTGGCTAAATAACATATTCACTCGGCTGTCACACAAACAAAAGGTTATCATGCTTTACTTATGAACATGGGGGCGCCAGCATTTTTTGGCCAAATCCTTCACCAAAGTTGAACCATATTTTGCCACTTAAATCTCACAGTGGCTTAAGGTCAAGATTTCTACTAAGGACCCTCCAGTGATAAGTTGCTTTATAAACGCGTCTAGTCCTAATCACCATAGATATAACAGTGAACCTATGTTTTTTTGCACAAACTTGGCTTTCACGACCTGGTGCAGCGGCACAAGATCCCTAGAAATTCACGGCCACAAGAGGGCCTGAATCACGGTGCCCACACCATCTACCTCCACTTCTTCCAGTTGAAGTCCCAAGGGCCTTGGTTCCGGCAGCCCAAAATCCACTCGTTCTGTTTGCTACTTGGGTGCTACTTGGTGGATGTTTTTGTATAGGTCATATCCCTGGTGATTTTTGTGGGATCGGTAGGGTTACTCCACAAATACGTGGGGTTGTAAACTGGGCACCTTCTTACCAAGCGGGGTCCCAACTAGGCCCGGACCCAGCTGAGCAAGTAACTTCCAAGTCTGAACTGTTTTTCCCCGCAAGCTGATCCAAATCCTACTGAATACCAGCTATTTTATGTGATTGTTCATCTCGTTCCAACAAGGTAACTGACCAAAATACAGCCTGTCTAAGGTAAAATAAGGTCAATAATGACACCTGTCAATATATCCCACCCCAAAAAAATAAACGTTTTCCCCACCGGTTTTCCCATCATCCACCGCCCCCCACATCTGTAGCTCCAGGAAATAGAAGGATGATCCCTGAAGCCGGGCGGATTTGAACACCATTTCCGGCACCCGGATTGTACTCTAAAAAAACTGGTTCGTGACTTAGTGATGGTAATAAATCAGTTAAAATATCAATTGGTTATCACTTAGTGACTTAGTGATGGTAGTAAAAACCAGTTTATAAACAACTTAGTGATGTTTATTCGTCCAAATATGGTAATCACCAGCTAATAATGGTAATAAACATCAAAATTCACCCAAATTCACCCGGATGTCCCAAATATGGTCATAGGTGTTCACCCATCGGACTTTAAATGAGATCATCATCCCAAGCAACTGGTCGGCCGTGGCTGTATGCTATTAATCTATTTTGTTTGAAGAGGATTATAGCAATCCAAAAAAGATAGAACAAGTACTTGTTGTTAAATGTGAAGTTACCACTATGCTTGTAGGATTTTACTTTTCTACGTTACAGTTCACTTCTCCATCTTTATTTCAATGAAATTTAAACCCATCAGAAATTCGCACCTTCTCGCGATTGTAACGATCCAGCTGGATATCGGTGAATTTGATTCCTGCGATACGCAGAGCTTTTTGGGTCGCCGTAAGGAACCATGTGGCACCATCATTGGGTTGGATTTAATGGAGACGCTACAGGAAACCATGTTTTTTTTCCCTATGAAATAGTATGAAATAGTATGAAGGGGTTTCCTGTAATTGTTCCCTTACACCAATGAAACCACTATCGTTGGTGGAATAAAGTCCTCTTGCGTCACGATTCAATCATCGAATGCTCTATCTCTTGGGATCATGAATCATGAAGGATCGATGCTTGGAACTTCCTGACAGGGTAACATTATTTCCAATGGGTTTGCTTCTACGATTTCTAAAAGTCCCTCGGCCCTGTGTGACTATGCAAAAATCTTTAGGGATCACCACATCATCTTGCGGATCGACCATGCTTCCCTACCGCGTGGGTTGCAAATCCACTGGTCAATCCGTTAATCCTCATTTTCCCCATTAAAAAAACCAAGCCCGTGAAAACAAGCTTCTCATTTTATTGGTATTACATGCCATGAAATCCCCGTATCCCACAGACACGGCGACCCGTCCTTTGTACTTGATCGGACCCAGGTCCATGGTGGACGTCCAGCCATAGTAATCGCCCGACTTCTCATCCTCCTCGTCGCATCACAAGAATTGGGTGGTTAACAATGAGAACGTTAGCTTTCATGGATAGGTTTAAGGGACGATCTGAACCAGAAACCATAGATTTTCTCAATAAATATGGTGTTTTCCGGTTTCAATGTTCCCTTCAACATCTTCAACCAATCAATTGTCAACTTCCGGCAGGAAGTTGGTGGGAAAATAGATGGAACATGACAACATGATGGGCTACCATAGGGATTTGGATGGCTCTTTTGGGGGCCCCAATTTTTGAAACTGGCCGGGCATTTTTATCCATTTGAAGGCCGCTTCACTTCTCAACAATCCAAGATAGAATTTTGATGGCATTGGCTCCCAACTACTGCTGCTCAACCACCCGGAAAAAAAAACTGCCCAACAGGGCTGGGAAATTCCCCTATGTAGTTGATTCTTGCAGAAAAAATATTTAATTTTTGATGGGGATATCCCAGCCAGGTTGGATTAACCGGGGGGTTTGGCAACTTATCCCTGGAGGTTTCAACGATGACGGCCACCCTCTTTTGACGCCAGGCCTATGACCTCTGACCTGCCCGAAATGGCATGGCTGCAGATCGTCTCTTTGGACAATCAGCCACTTCAATTTGGTGGAAGGTGGCACCACTAAAAAGAATCAACGGTTTGCCTACCTCAATCCCGAAAAAACTCACTACATGTCGCCACCAGTGCAAATTGCAAACACAGAAGATTTCCACCACATTTTGTGCCTCACATCGTCCATCCCATTTGGGACATGGTGAAACCGTCAACCGTGGGCCTCGCCGCCATCGCCGCCTTCGCCCATCAAACTCTGCACCAACTCGTCAGAGCTGACGCTGGGCAGCACGCCGCCCTGACTCACCGGCTCTTGGGACTCGGAGATCCAGGCGAGCTCTACCAGGTGCCGTGACCTCGATGTCGATGGGGAAGCTTTGGATTTTTGGGGTGTTGGACATTAAAACAGATTAAGCACATATCTTTATCACACACACACATATATATATAATTATATAATATCTTATTTTATGTGTGTATGTAATTGTATATAGATATATACAGTATACATATTATATATATCATTATTGTATACTGTGTGTGTGTGCTATATGAAACAGCTTTACTTAGTAAGACTGACAATTTATCTTGATATCATACCAGTGGATTTCAAACATATACAGCACATATGCTTTGATTCAAATAAATTTGTATTGATTTGTATTGTAATGATTGTAATGCAAATGCTTACAGTACCTGTGGGCAGTGCACACTGAAAATATCGCAGAAACAACCGTAAAATGTTGGCAACTTCCACGGGCATTTTTTTTGTGTGCCTGGCGGGGCTTGCGACCTCTGAACAAGCCGTTGGCACGATAGCATGAAGAAGAAAAACATCTAAAAATCTAAAACCCCAATATACAGGTACAAGCGCAGCAAAATCCTGATGTGTTGGTTTGTGCCTGCGCTTAGTCGGGGCTAATCTTACTACTATACCAACCAAAAGAAGGGGACAACACATAGCAAAAACACGGGGAAAACGTTTGCTGCTACGTCTGCCAAACTGAGTTCTCCAGATGTCTTTTATCCGATCCTACCCGCCAAGGTTGATATCCCTGTTTACTGGCTGCGTAAGAGCGGGATTCCCATAATATGTCCTGTGCTATGTCCGAATAATCCCCGATAACCAGATAGTATATGGGCTATAACATCATCAATCAAACATCAGCTATCACGTATCCTTGATTTCTGATGCTCAAGACACCATTTGGGATCTTTAATGCTTAACTCCCCACTCAAACATCTCATCATCTAAGTCAGTTTTTTAGATCAACATGGGGGTTTAACACACTATAACACACTGGTGCCATCTCCAAATGACACCATGGCGGTCTGCAGCATCTTCTCATGGATCATCTCAGTCATCTCCACCAGCGGCGGCACCGGAACCGTGGGATCTGTGGGCTCCTGGTCGGCTGGGAGGAGCCCGGCGTGCTGTGCCAAGGCGTTGGCCACCTGGCAGGGAAACAAGGGTGGGGGATAGGTGTTATGTGACATTTTACCCGCAGGAAAGAGGGGGTTGATGGATTCTTAAGTTGATCTAGCACTGTTTAAGCATGACAAACATGAGGATGTTGGTGGATTTAGTTGATTTTCGATGGAGAAGGGATGATTGTTCATCAGAGATAAACAGATCCGAAACTAGACCAAGACTTCTGAGGAGATGCTTGTTGTGCATGTATAATATATAGACACCGTTGAATTGTGATGGGTCTGTTGGTATTGGCACCACTGCACGCCTCTTCACCCCGTGCTTCAATAAAGCTCCCGGTGCCGGTGTAGGCCTCTTAAAGCTTATTGCATTCCCCAGTAAAATGATCTTTCTTTGTGTATGAAAAATACATTGACCGCGCTGACTCTCGGCGTCTCTCCCAATTAAAAAGGCTGACCTCGCCCACCTAGTGTTCATCAGTTAAAATAAATACATATACACAATATTGCACAATATGCATAATTAGCAATTCAAGATTATCCTGCTACACTGACAAACAATAGCAGCCCCGATCCTCAACCCAACCTTCCCTGGGTCCCTCCCCATCTCCCCACATCTCCCCACACCTGCAGTTCCACCGGTTCCCCCCGCAACCGCGCGAGCGCTTCCCTCAGCAGTCCCTCGTCCTCCGCCGTCCGCGCCGTCTGCGCCGCCGTCGCTCGCTGCCGCGCCGTGTGCGCCGCAAACTCGGCGTCGCTCACCGCAGCGCGCAGCCGACGGGCCGTGCTCAGCAGAGTGCGGGTGGAGGATAACGTGTGGCTGATGGCCTCCTACGGCACGTCATGGGCAGAATAGGCAAGTTGTGTTGGACAGAGCTGAAGGATGCTGAAGTAATGGGATATTAGAATCTGGAGGGGTCATAAATCAAACTTTTGAGAATGGCATCTGGATTCCAACGAAACGATGTCTTGGTTATCACAAGGGGATGATACAACTGAAGTTAGTCGTGAACGATTTTACTAGCATTTGATGCTTTCAAAGGCAGAACCAAAACATTCAGCTAGGGACAAACATGGAAGTACTACATTTTGCCATCAAGAATTGGGGGAGCTCATCGACTATTTATGGATATTTATGGCCTTTATTTCAAGTATACAGATGCAACTACCCTTGAACTCCTGTCAAGTGATGAATCTTTGAAAGCTCAGACTGATGAGTACCTAAGCCTCAGGTCGTTTAAGATAGCTATGAAAATGGTCCTTATATATTAAAACATGCATTTTTTCCATGGCTATGTTAAATTACCAAAGGGTAACGGTCAATGTTAAGATTGTTGGGGAAGCGTCACTTGATGCATTGAACATCATGGTGGAGGGTAGGATTCGGAACCTCCTATATAATCCTCCACTGTTTCGCCATTGGTCCACAAATGATGCTGCATTCACTGTGCCCAAGTGGGTCTGGCTGGGAATAAAGTGCCTCTTACCCCCCCACCCCGTACTAGCCCCGAACCCCAAAAATCCCATGCATGGTTGATATCCACCCATTTTCGTCTCGAAAAACAATTTGATTCCCTTCAGTATCTGAGTTATCATGAGTTATTTATATCATTATCTATCTCATTATTTCTCATTGTCCCTAGGCCATGATCCTTTTTACACCAAGTCTTGTTGGTCAAATTGGCAAACAAACCGTAGCACCCGTCCCCGAAGCTGGGATACACGCAACCATACATGGCACCGGAGCGGTGGAGCGATGTAAACCGTGGGCTGAGCCAAGAAAGCTCACCGTCTCTGGGATGGAAAATGATGGAAAACTCACCGCGACCATCTGATAAACCAGAGACAACTCATGAAAACTCACCATGTGTATGTCGCGTTCCGAGGAAACCATGCAGTTGGCCACATCTTTTTTGATGTTTACCCTAGGGTATCCGATACCAAATGGCAGACAGGACAAGGCGATGAAATTGGGATTCCCAAGTCATAGTGGGTTAACAACAAAGAACAAAAATATCATTTCAATTAAGCAAATCCAAGATTATATATATATATATATGTAAACCATCGTTTATCATTAATGAGTTGATGGTTAATTAAACTACCTTTATGTTAACCCCATCAACGCACCATTTCTTTGTCAATTCCAGGATCTTTCTGAAACGAATCAGACATACTGGCTGACCAGCCCTGCGCTGTCCTTCTGGGAGATCTTCTCACGGATCTCGGTGATCTTTAACTCCTCAGCAGAAAAACAACGGCTGAATGATGTGGGCAAAACAATATATAATATATAACCATAGGTATCATAGAATAGTTGATTTCCTATTAAAAATGAGTAAACCATGTGATTTTCCGTGGTTATATTAGTCTACCAGATGGTACATACCATGGTTTAATGTGGGTAAAACAATAAGAAATCATCCCCCCAAATCACCATATATATGGTATAGACAGATAACCATTCCCATGGGTGGTTTATGGCATTGTGTTACCCATATGTTGTTCAAATTTGTGGGAATGGTATGAAACAATATATTGCAATATATTGCAATAGGAATTACATTTACATGTAATTACGTGGTACAACATGGTACAATAACACTGTATATGTTTGATATCCGCATTGTTCAAATGTTTAAAATCCAGGAAATTAAAGAGAACATGTGGGCAACATATGCTATAGTCATAGTACTTAAATCGTACAGTAATATATCTCATCGTACTCATACCAACAATTTTATGAAACATGTTTTATCTATGCTTATCGCACATATCCAGCAAAATCGATGGTTTCCTGTCATTCCACAAGGCCTGTCCAATTTCCCTGCAACCAATCCTCATGGAAAAACCATGGAGTCAGCCAGTGGAACATATGATGGGAACTTATAGCATATCTATGCATTTATAGCATATCTATGCATATTTGATAATATATATATATATAAATATAATATATTGGTTAGGAGTTGTAGATATCGATCGGGTGACATTATTTTTCATCCAACACACATACTTCATCATGCAGTGATGGCAATATTCGGGTGATCACTGATGATCACTGGGGCTTGATGGCAACTGGTTAGAACATGTTCCATCGCCAACCTCGGGTTAGGACCTGAGACTGTCATGTTTCGCTGGCACGAGTAAGCTCACAAGCTGGCGCCAAAATGTTATTTTTGTTTAGCTGGCGCTTGTTGCCCAAATCTACTAGTTGCAAAAACGCCATATGAATCATATGATTTGAGATTCTCTTGGCTGACCATGGAAGCGGGTCCAAGGCACCAGTTGTTCGTTGCAATGCCGAATTCCCATGTAGGCCTAGCGGGTGAAATCCATGGCGAAATGTGGCCAGCCTGCCTGTGCCTCAATTCATTGCTGTCATTTCCATCTGCCTCTGACCACTTGGCTGCCTCAGAATCTGCCGGCTTTTCAGGCACCTGACGTCCGGATCTTCGAAGCCCTTGGTCTTGGTTGTTTGATGAAATGACCACTGGTTATCATTCATTCACATTTTTTCACCATTGACATCATGGTTCTTCCCATCCAATCATTTTCTCCAATCATTTCAAATCATTTAGACATGATAGTAAAATATGATCTAATATGTTTAACCCTGCCTCTGATTCTCCAAATCAAGGTACCTTAGGTACCTTTAAATATCCAGGTCATATAAGCGGCGCACCTTCTCTAAATCCAACAGGCAGCCCTCGAACTCCTCACGCAGCCCAGTACTCAGCTCGCCCAACCTGCATCGCTGCCGTCCGGGTGAGTTGATTCTCGTTGGGGGTTACTATGGTTACTGCACACAAAGTTGGGTAGAACATGATAGAACAATGCAAGTTGAACTAGAAAATGACACATCTGACTGCGGTTACAGACCCAGGATTCAGCTGCAAGAGTGGCATCTTCAAGGATTGATATGATTGATTAAAACAATGTAAAAAAAATGTCAGAGACAATTCAGCATCTTTTGTCACTATTCTAAAAACAAAACACCGCCATCATGTTGGTCTTGACACGAGGATTGGCGCATTCGAATCTTATCCGGGGATGTCATGCCTCCCAAGCCAAACGTCCCAAAGAGAAAGGGATCATCACAGCTGGAAATGACTTAAATGGTGAGCAGTAGCGGTGTCAACCCTGGATCGTCTTAGCAAATGAATCAGCCCGGGTTTACCCTCTGGTAAACTAACATAACTATGGAAAATCACCATTTTTAATGGGAAAACTCACTATACATGGCCATTTTCAATAGCTATATATGTTAGTCATAACCAGAGGGTACCAATCTCGGCTTGCCATGAGTCGCAATCTTTGACACGTCCCTTAGGGAGCCGTCGAATTAGGGCCGGCCACATCGAACTGACGACACCAGGTTCCCAAGTACCGAAAATTCCGCAACTACATGATGCGTTTTATGTTCAAAACTTCATACCCCAAACACCATGGTCAATAATCATTTTCCCCGTTGAAATCGAAAATGGGTATCCCTAACTAATGTTAAGAATCCGAACTATCGGAAGCTTGTCACACTCACATTCCCTACTAGAATGTGTGCAAACATACAGTACCACGACCACTGCATAGAAAACCATGTAAACTGATAATGATTGACAGCAAAAGCCTTGCATGAACATCACCATCGCGCAAATGGTTATCTCATATATTATGTCGTCTCCCTATCTTCGGCATGTGAAATGCCCCACATCTGTTGATGACGATCACCGGCCGCTCAAAGTTAAGACCCTCAACACACAATTTGTCCCTGAGAATCATTGGGAGAATTATGATGAAACTTGATGGCCAAGGCAAGGGATATATCATCACCTTTCCTGCACCTTTCCTGCATCAGGTCCCAAATTTGCTGGCACAATCACAGATTATACAAATATCCAAGTAATGTGCGCACCGGCTTGCCTGAAAAGTACCTGTAAATCAAATGGTTTATTGATTTTCCCTATTACCAAGTTACAGTATATTGAAATTGCTATTTTGGGTGCTATATCCCATTTTCGGACACACACCAACATTAGATTATTGATGATATATCCCATGCAATCCCACTACCATTTAATCTCCCATGAATATCTCATCAATATCCCATTCAAGATGGATGAAAGACCATTAAACCATACTAAACCAACATTTTTCACTACGATTCATGGCTACCCCAGGTTTCCGGTACGTGTTTCAGAAGGCTAACACCGGGAACCCTTTGTCATCGCGTGTAGGATCTACGTGCTATGCTCAAGGTCCACCGCAGCTCAGGTTTGGCGCTGATAAGACGAGCCTGGCGCTGCTAGGGAAAGATATATGTATGTAACATGTATATTAAGACCATACACAAAAAATAGTATATGTAAATAATATATAAATGTATATATATATAATATGTATATAAATAATATATATATATATACACACATACGCCCTAATCTCCCAAAACACATCAAATAGACGTACGTGGTGCCAAAGACTATTAATTTGATAAAGGCTATTGGTTTGCTACTGGTTCAAAATCTAGTCTGCATGTAAACCCAATTTTCAAGGGTTTTTGGCTACCTGGGTTCTATGGAATCAATGAATAGTCGTTCGACGGAAATTTATAGTCGTTCTACTCCTACGGAAACTAGTGTTCGTTCTACGGTTTGTCTACATTTGTCTATGGTTTGTCTATGGTTTGTCTACGGTTCTACGGTTTGTCTACTTTTTATTTTCGACCACTGTGCGCCAATGATCAAATTATTAATAGTCGCTAAGTACAAATTAATGTCCTTACCTGGAGGGGCGTACATTCGACGATGGAAGAAGAACAGTGTGTGTGTGTGTGTGCATATATATATAATATACATGCATATCATAATGACCAAATATATGCAGCTATCATATTCATTATTATCAGTATGATTGTTTAGTATGTTTGTTTTTAAATTTCGCTATATGCATGGTGCTACACACCACTGAAGGTGACTTAGCATCATCTTTTCAATTGGATATACGGTGCACTTGGTGCATTCTGGATGCGGAAAACAACAAATCAACGATAAACAATGACACCAAAACAAACTTGGGATCCAGTTGGGCTTATTTATGGCTCGGTAAGAACATGTAAGAACCACCTCAAAGTCGAGATATGATATAACCAGATATAACCAGGTATAACACATAAACATATCGTTAAACTATGGTTATAAAGCCACTAACTCTTCACTAGATCAAGGCACAAGCATCTGAGGATCAGAGGGCCAATCTCCCAGTTGAACGGCCAGAATGGAGTACCTCGGCCGGCGCGGCGCCTGCAACGCGTGTCTCTTGGAAAAGATCACGTTGCAAGGCCCATGCCAGTCCTACTATTCCCTTTGAAAGATGGGGAGTATGGATATGTATATATATATATATATTATATACAGATTTAATCATATGATTTAATCAGATTTATACAGTTAAAACAAGTTGATGGACTATTTTGAGGGTAGTGGCTGAAAACCACCAATCCTTAGCTTGTTTGGGCCGCTTCCAAACTAAACTCCTCCAATCTTTTCAGCCATGATACAACGTCCACAGCCCAGAGAGGAAGTAGCCAATCACCAGGGCCTCTGAGTTGCTGCAGGGATAGTTGAAACCACGTCAAGAAACTGAGTTTTGGTCGTATCCCAATAGTTTGGTCAATGTCCCATTTATGGTCGGTTCGTGCTGGTTCAATTATCATTCACCAAGCCGAAATAAGGGCATTAAGGAATAGTTACCCCAAAACCATCCTTTACCCCGATCACGTGATGCCTTTCAGAAACCGCTTCAGAAACCGCCATTGGTCCCTCGTTCGCCTGCATGCCGATCATGCTATAGACCCCAAAGAGGGCCAAAGTGCCACAACTTCGGTCCAGTTGCCAGGGCTGTCCCACCTGAGTGCCGACTTTTTGCTAAGATGTGTCATAGTTGTCCAAGTATATGTGTGTTTCCAGATCTTTTTTTAGGGCAATGGTGATTCGTCAGACTCTTCGCCAGGCTTTTGGAGGATTGATCTAGCGGTTTCGATCGTGTTGCTACAGTCAAGCACGCAAACAAACAATCAACCAACATCCTGGATAGGAAAAAAGACACATCGTAAGACCTGTTTAATGTAATATGGGATCTCGCTTATACAATATATGATTATAAACATATAAGTATATATAATTTGAAATAAATAAATAAACAAAAAATATATATACACCCATATGTATGTGTTTAAATATATATCTGTGTGTGTATCTATAGTGGAAGCCCCAAGATACTGCGGTCTTGTGCTTCTCCAGACAGTCAGGCCGAGCCACGTGCTTGGACAGCCAATCCTCAAGCCATGCCCTGAGATCAAGTCTGCCCGGCGGCTTGGGCTAAGGCACCCAGGATGGAGCCCCATCGCTACCCCCCCCCAAAAAAAAAGCAACGGTCAGTCGCATGCCAAAAACCGTTTATTTTCGATGAAATCAGGCTGATTGCCCGGATCCTAATCATGATTCCAATGATCACAGTGAGGTCACTAAAAAAATTACCCGGTTCCTATCCATCCTGTTATCCATCCTGACAGTTTGATTGCTGGAAATCTGGCCCAATGCAATGCCCAGTTGCAGGAAAAGATCACTGATGCGGTACACGATGAAGCTACTGGAGAAGAGTAGAGGAAACAAAATAATCCCCACCTCGGCCCCACAACTGGGTTGGACCGACATTGGTCGTGAACCAAGGTTGTGAAGTAATGTCTATATCCTCAGTTTTGTTTATACCTATATAATCAGTTTTTGTTTGTAGGCGATACTCTCTTGACTGGGACAAACCCATGAACACTTGTCCAAACAGGTGATGTTGCCTTGTACTGAGAGTTTAAGTTTAAAGTATTTTAAAGTCGCATCTTTTGCTCCTTTCCCATTAGGTTGCTGCTCAAAAACCTTTGCAAAACCACCTTCAATTGATTGGTTGAAGGGACAATCTGCACGATATACCTTTATTCGAGGGTTTAAAAATGTTTTAAATACAAAGAGACTATGGTTTCGAAACACTTTTCCTTTAAACTATTTCATAACTATAGTAACTATACCCATATATTTGAGGTTTAAAACGATGGTTTCCTGTAATTCTGTCCTTAAAGACCCAATGGCCCATCCAATCGGGCCATTTTTTGCCAAGACACCGACAGCAACGGGAGCCACTGGGCCCAACGCTTCACGCTCCTGGCTCCAATGAGGCGGTCGAAGAGCAGCCTGGGCAAGGCAAATGTGACACTTTCCAAAAAAGGTGATGGTTACCCTCTGGTAAACATACAAAAAGCTATTGAAAATGGCCATTTATAGTGGATTTTCCCATTAAACATGGTGATTTTCAATAGCTATGTTAGTTTACCAGAGGGTAGGTGATGGTTAGGATTTAGGGAATCATCCCACTATAGTCGTAGTTCAGGTTAGTGAAACATCATACTTGTCATGATCCTACCCAGATAATGTGGGTAAAACAATGCCATAAACCACGCATGACTGGGAATGGTAACCATACCACCTACAAAAATGGTGATGACTGGGGGATGGTTTATCATTGTTTTACCTACATTAGTTACCACAAATCATACAAGTCATTGGGCCATTTTAGTTTTGACACATATTGAAACCCATGATTTTGAAATACACCCATTTTAGGAAACCTCCATATGCCAACAAAACGCGCCAAATATGAGTAGCCAATCGATAAAGTTGTATAAAGTTAGTTAAAAAAATAGCAATGTGTTTGTGGCGCGCGAATGGACCCACAAAAAAAAGGTGATTGAACATGATTGAACATAAGGACCTTTTGGGGGACGCGTTTGAGACGCAGCTTCTGTTGACCAAGGTGGGTTGAACGAATGCAGTACAATGAGTGAGTTTATTGTGACGGAAATGATGGGAAATTTAAGTGAGGCATTTGCACGTGCATGGCTTCATGTTTTGAAAGAAACTGCAAATGCATAGATACATCACAGTTGAAAGCAAGAAGTCAACCCATGGAGATCTGCTTGCTGCACATTGCATCACATGATCATCACATCTTCATTTCCTTCCACATTTACAACAGCATTGCTTTCTTAACATACACACACACATAGTGCAAAAATTCGTTCATTTATCACAACTTGCAGTTGTATGCAGAGCAAACAGCTGGAAATAAAAAACAACTCCTTGCTGCCAACTGCACCAGGGGTTGTGGGTCTTCACGCCGACGTGTCCTGCTTGGGTAAACATCAGGAGGGTACCCTCCAAATCATGGGCACGTTCATCTCTGCTACTACTTTGGGACTACCCCAGCGGGAAAAAAAACAAACTACAAAAACACCTTGGGACTTTTGAGTTTTCATAAAAATCCGGGGTTGACAGCTTCGTTCCCGGGACAGTCCTGGCCGTGGACAACCCAGGCCTTTTACACCCAGCAAACTCAGCTGCCCCAGGCTTTCCTTGGAGGAGCATCCCAGTTGTCCCCTGCTCAAGCAGGATCGGGAACAACAGGTGCAAGAAAGCAAGCGGGAAAAAAACATCGGGCCTGACTACGTTTCACTTTAATGTCTGTAAAAGTATCTAGTGCCACACTAACGCAAATCTAGTGCCAACTTGCAGGAAAGCGGTTTCACTGCATATATATATAGATAGATAGATAGATAGATAGATAGATAGATAGATAGATAGATAGATAGATAGATAGATAGTATTATGTATATAGATATAGGGCTCCACCTTGTAATGAAATCTAAAATGCATCACTTCCCAAATATTTATGTCCTTCGGATTTAAAAGTTCCTTATAGGCATTTTAGATCATTTTAGAGCGGATCTCATATGGGAAAACGACGGTGTCTCCGCGCTACCTTAGTACCCCCACCGTAAGCGGGTGATCATCGATCCTATTTAAGGCACCGTTTGCAAATAGAATCGGTGTCACTATTGAACCCCCATTCTATGGATCCTCAGCATGCCAACTTTATACACGTACAACTCACAAGCAGCATAATTACATAATATTAAACATCGACAATTTGTTGCTATAATTCCTTAAAAGCAATCAGGTGAAATGTCCAACCCATTGCAATTCCCCAATTTTAGAGGCCGAATTCCTCATTGAAAATCATTGAAATCATCAATGCTCGAGCATCCGGATGTCACCTAGTCCTTACCCATCCCAGTCCGACCCAGCAACAGCTCCATTGATCCCCGCGGTCTCGATGAAGTGGTAGGGAACGGAGAAGGACACCTTCTCGGATGCGCAGCAAGCCATGGAAGCCATGGGAAGCCATGGAAGCCATGGCCATCTGACCCCGTAAAAACGGCTGTTGAATTGGGACGGTACCATGACTAAGTAGATGATTTATGACTATTGGAGGAGTACCCCCTTAATAAACCATGGTTTATTAATTCGGGGTTGACATTATAGATGACATAGTATGAAAAATGGTGAATTTCTAAATCTACATTGGATTACCATCTGATATTGCTGGGGAAGCGTCACTCGATGTATTGTCAGGTCGAAAAGAAAAGTCACGGGAAAACCCTAACGTTACATTAGAAAAACATAGAAAAACAACCCTGCTGGCTTGTGATGATTGAATCAGCTTGTGAAGCAACAAACACTACACCACTTTTCAGATGGGGCTCGTGACGTGCCAAAGTTGGGACTGTCATGCCAAGATAGAAAGAAACACATATTTAGGTTATTTTAGGTTTCTCTGCAAATTGAGGGGTGAAACAACCATTTCGCCCCATAGTGCATCATCATCTGCCTCATAAACTGCCATTTTTGTTCGGGTATATCATTATATCGTATAGCCATTGTATAGCCCATTTTGGGCACGCCCATATATTGGATGTCACCACGCGTCGCCAAGGTTCTGTTCGCAAGCAACTGGACTCAATAATCGCAGCATACATGGCCTGCAATCGACTCAATCCAAGCCTCGAACCTTCCCATGCGGAAAAAAAAAACCTGGCAATGGGAAATCCCCTATGCATGGAGGTTGGAATGGGAAAATCAACCAGAAGCTGGGGATATTCCGTTGCCAGGTTTGATTACCAAAGGGTACCAGAGGGTAGATTCAATAGATCGCAATAGCAGGGTAGATTTGCGGAATACAAAAGATGTGCCCGGATGACAAGTCCAACAGCCAGAAAGGATGGTGCCAGGCAGAACTGGGAAGTGTTAAATATACTCGGACTCCGATTTCATGGATGATAATGATCATCCCAATCAATATTGGACAGCATAACGCCCCTCCCCCTCCCAAAAAAACATATAAGTATATCCTGGTTTTGATAGTTAAATATAGTATAGTATATAGTTAACTTTTGTAAATCCCAAGGGCTTAGCAACCACTGCTCAAGTATATCTCCATTTCACAAAGATTCAACTATGTTCAACCCTAGTCAACCATATGCTAAACCATATTCCACTATCTTAAAACCATATTCATCCAGAGATTTCCTAAGTCATGGGGGTATCCCCCTTAAATCATCCATATTATTGTTGGATTTTTCATTCACTATCCAGCTCTTGGGGTACCCCCATAACTTAGGAAACCACCAGGCCTTCCAGGCCCCACCTGCTGGACGTTCGATCTCAAGCGACTCACCAAGTTCAACGGCAAGGCGAGGGCCACCACAGAGGGCACGGCGGCCAGGCGGAAATAACCTGGGGCCCCGGGCTCGTGGAGCAGCTGGGGATGAAAAAAACCATCAACTTTTGGGGGATTTAGAGGATTTGTTCATGGGATTTCACGGTTTTTTATGATTTTTTTGATGGGATTTCATTGGATTTGTTGATTGGTTCGGAAAGTCCGAAATTAGTAGCTCCTTGGCTCCCTAATAGGGAATATCGATACCCATCGCGCTGAATGCTACTTAACCTAACCACTACTGGTTAACGGTTGCTGCCAGGCGGAATTTGAATGGGATTTAAGCAGCAAAAATTGCAATGATGCCTGCTGATGTTGGACATGGACACAATGGGGATATGCTAGAATGGGTAACTAATGGGTAACCAACATTTTATTAATGCTAATGCTAGATGATACTTATGCTAGATGATACTAATACTAATGGGTAACTAATATTAATACTAATGCTAGATGATACTAATACTAATGGGTAACTAATAGTTTATTAATGGGTTGAAGGAAACTTATCATCTGGAAATGTGTTAATTGCATGGTCCACGAAAAGTTCGATGATGTTTTGTATGATATATATATATATATATTATATTATATGTGCGTTCTTTTTCCACAGCGAACCTTTAAATTGCCGAAGGGTATTCACTTTGTTAGTTCTGAAACTAGATGTACATGCCAGCATGATGTAACCATTATTTTTTGAATGTGGGGGAAACATGTGTTCAAAGCAAAGCGAGTGGTTTAGACTGATCAACAAGCGTTGATGAACTGCGCAAATCAATGGGGATTCGTGATATCCAAGGCTGTAGCAAGGCCGTTCTTAGATATATATTGTATATACTAACTTCAAAAAAAAAACAATTTCCAGCTGGGAATTTCAACATATCCCCAAAAGAAGCCACAACGATTGCACTGATCCCAGATTTTGAAAATCCTAGACTTATCCTAGATTCATCCGCCAGTTTGAATTGCAAAAACCGTGGTTTCCTGTAGATGTTTCAGTTCTTTTCCCTTGAATCCATCAATTGAACCTACCACCAGAGTTGGTGCCAGGAACAGCCACAGGACTCGGAGGGACTGTAGAACAGCTCCTGAGGATTGCGTTTACGTGTGTGCGTGTGTGTGTGTGTGTGTCCATAGTGTGCATTTCAAATCGTTTCAACAGGCTTGGGGATAAAGCCAGCAAAAAAAAGAAGGATCATGATGACACATGGGCGACATCTTTGTATGTCTGTCTTTCTGCCTGCCTGCCTGGCTGACTGACTGTCTGTCTGTCTGTCTCTGTCTGTCTGTCTGTCTGTCTGTGTCTTTGTCTGTCTCTGTGTCTTTGTCTGTCTCTGTGTCTTTGTCTGTCTCTGTGTGCGTCTGTCTGTGTGTCTGTCTGTGTCTCTGTCTGTTTCTGTCTGTCTGTCTGTCTGTTTGTATGCATGTATGCATGCATGTGTGTATACGCATGAATAACTATTGCATACGTATGTCTACAGGTAACGGAAACAGCTACCAAACTAACTCAAGGGTTCAACACAAAAGTGAGATCTACGGACATGCTGTCGACACAAAGATAAGACTCCAACCAAGGGGTTCCAGGTGTGCTTGGGTCAAAATTGGTCCCCCCCCGCAAAACAAAAGAATGAATTGCAAAAAGGCTCGAAAAGTCCCAGCAATCACGGCCAATCTTAGGTCTCCTCCTGCATTAATTTTCTTGTTTTCAGCAGATTTAGGAAAAACAAAGGCGAATATCCCCATGTACATGGCAAAAGGTCAATGGGAATTTCAGGATCCTAAAATGGGGATATTCCCTTACGTATGCCTTGTATATGGTAGGTACCCCCAATTTTAGGTTCCTGAAATGGCCATTGAAAAGATTCCCCTCTGGAAATTGCACATCGCCATGAAAAATCATATTTGGGTAAATTATACCGTGTCACCAATCTGAAGTTTTTGGCTATTTTGGGATAACCCTAGATGATTTACATTTGGATCTTCCATGGCAATTGAGCAATTTTTCTATGGCATTTTCACCCAGGCTCCATGGCACCAGAAGCCCACATCAATGCGCAGGCTGCCATAACGGCCATGGAAAGTGAAGCGAAGATCTGGAGCATGACCGCCTGATGATCCCGTCACCGCTTGAGCGGTTGCAGCACATGCGGACGCCCCATGCCATCCGGCCGAGGCACATCGTTGGGTCCCAGCAAGTGCGCCTCTAATCCCAGGTCATGTGCCAAGTTTAGAGCCTCGATTTTGAAAAGACGTCGATGAACCAAGAAAAATCATAGCTTCAACGCTTGATCTATGGGAAATTATAGGCATCTTGGGAGAATTATAGGAACCTGGATGGATTTGGATGATTTATAGGGATTTGGGGGGTTATGTATAACAGCTATAGGTTCAATCGTTGATTTAATGGGGCATGTTGGGAGATCACCATCCAAAACTGATATCAACTACAAATCAAGCACTATCAATTAATGGATTGGTTCGGGCCAAATCTAGAGAAACTAAAGTTGTTGTAGCCCCAATCTGTTGGTTTCCTGTTGGTGCTGCATCAATCCACAAACCCAAAACCAACTGCCACAGCAATCACGAACCCACAAGCTTCAAGCACATCCTGTCTTACACAATCTTGATCCTACCTGGTTGGTGGTTTCAACCCCTCTCAAAAATATGAAAGTCAGTTGGGATTATGAAATTCCCAATATATGGAAAAATAAAAGCCATGTTCCAAACCACCAACCAGTTAATCCTACTTAGTTACTTGAGACAAGGTCCTTACATTTCATTACTTCGCTGTCCCCACCATGGCAATGAACTGAACTCATGGGTGTTTTACATGATGGCCAAAAAAACATGATCGTAGCATTTCAATACATTCTAATATAATATAATATAATATAATATATATATATAAATGTATTCATATTCATGATTGCTATCATATTGCTATCATAAACCCACTGCAAAACAATACCACGTCCTGCCAGGGCGCGGAATACACGGCAATCGAAGCGATGAAGCCCATCTTAGACTTGGAACGGCTCCTGACTGCGGATGGGACCCCAAAAAAGCTCTACCTCCAGAAACCCCAACGGGAAGATTATGGGAATTAAAGGGTAGGATTTCCTATAAAATCCGTGGACTTATGTATAGATATATATATATATACTACAGATATAGATATAGATATTATCTTACAGTATTAGATTGATTCGTAGGGGGATCCATCATCCGGGGTCTCTATAAAATTCTATGGACTTATATATCTTATTAGTAAGTGGTGAGTCAGTGGGAGTATGGACCCAGCTAATGCTGAATCACCCCAGGAGAGGAAGTGGGGATTCATTAGCCCAGGTGATTAGCTAGATACAGCTAGTTATACACTGGGATGGTCCTCCGGAGCCACCTTTATTCGGGAGGAGCAACCAGCTTAGGATATCTTTGGATCCATTGCTTCTACAAAACTGAAGCAACCACCACTGTCTGACAGTTGATGCCCACCGGCCACGGGATCCAATCCGATCCATCCCCAGGCTGGGCGTAGAGCTCAAGTACCATGACTTGAAACGAATGTCCCCCCCTCCCACTGTGCCACTGTGCCACTTACTAAGTAGATTATATCAAAGTTCTATCCCTGCTTAGTGGGATATAGTGGGACTTGGCGTAATCCACTTGCAAAAAACGGTCATGGGTGAACTAACCTACCGATTCGGATTCGTGGGTAGTTCGCCACCAAGTACTTGGTCACAGGCGAGGCTCAATCGATCTTCCACCATGCGTCGCACGTGCCGCTCTTCACATCTGGAGACACTGCGCAGCGCTGCGTTTCGCGGACGATTTATCCCATTTGTGGCAAAAGATCAAGGCGAAAGGGGGAGACCAAACTATATAGACTATATATATATGCCGTTTACACACATCACATGACTGAGACATTCTGAAAGTATCATGTAGTTGGGAATCCCTTATGAGATCCTTAGTTACTGCGTGCCAGTTGGGAGGAAAAAACAATTGCTGATTGCTGATGTATCTACCCAAGGTTTCCCTGAGTTTCACTATAAAAGGTTTTGAGGAGCAACATTGCCGAACGGTGCAATCTACAATCTTCACCAGCGAACGCGGAATTTTGGCTAGCTACAGGGGGACAAATCAACAATGAGTCATGAAAGAAAAAATCGGAGACACAAGGCAAACAGCCAAGAAGAAAGCACTATGACTGACTATGAGGTACAGAACGGACACACCATCAAGATTCTTAGCAAAGTCCACCAAACACGTTTCTTTGCAGATTTTCACTGTTCACTTCGCTAGAGATGCTATGACTTCACAGCGGCCCCCCAACGGCTGCCACGGCGGCACCTACAGGCTCCGATGAAGGCGTCACAGTCCATTCCGCCATAGGCGACGCAGGTCTCAGAGAGAAGTCGCTGGTCCTGGAACACCAACCTTCAAAGTCAACCCGGGACCCTCTGGATACTGGCAATCCAATAATGAGCCTCTGGTCAACATACAAACAACTATGGAAAATCACCATTTTTGTTTAATGGCTAAATCAACTATTTCTATGGCCGGTAAGCATGCAACCAACTATGGAACATCACCATTTTGGCATCAACTATTTCTATGGCCATTTTCAATAGTTGTTTGTATGCTTACCAGAGGGTAAGCCTCATATTTGGGGATAGTCATTTTGGGCACCCCAATATGATCATATTGTGGATGGCCAGTTTGTGGCCGACTTTGAAGGTGATAAGCCCCCAAGGCCTGAGGGCTGAAAAAAACACCTCCAACCCTTACTCTTGTGACTTGTTCAATCCCTATTGTCGGGGGATAGCTTTCTTAAGGTTAGGGGGGTTCCCCGCACTTAAAATTCATTGATCATGATGGGAATATGCTTGGCAACTGGCGATGACACTGTTCATGCAGCGATACGCTCAAGTATCCCCCCACCAAGGGAATCTGGTATGTGCTGTTTCTGCTGGTTGGCCACATTCCAAATCCCATACAATAATAGTGGAATCATCTGCAATTTTGAACGCTTTTAGAATTTCCAAATCAAAGCACGTACGCTTCCCATACCTCATACCAGAGAGAAAACCATGCTTATTAAAGAATGAATCTGCTTGGGATTCAATCTGTCACAGAAGCCAATCCACTTTTCCGCTGGCCCGCTTTTGAAAAACCCAGCAAGTTGAGTTGAGAACCCCAAACATACATATGTATTATATATATATATATGTGTATATATATATATATTTGTGTGTTAAATATAATAGATGTATACATTCGAATAGAAATCAAACTGTCCAAGAGGAACATCATCTCCCAGATCCACCTCCAAATCGGCGTTCCATCTATTAAGGGCGACACCGCTGGGGATTCACCACCACTTGAGGCTTAGCAACTGGGGTGCTGGTTAAGCCACCTATAGTTGACTATATGAACGTTATAAATTGATACAGTTCAACGATGTTAAAAGGTTAGATTCTGGTTAGATGTTAGCTGTTATTGGTTGACCTATTAACTATATACTATTTATATTACACATGTGTTTCAATGTTAATCACCACTTCCCAACTGAGACATTTCGCGCTGTCGCACCTGTCCGTTCTTTACGGGAAAGGGGAACATGCCAGTGCCAGGAATTGCTGAGCCGTCGCCGAAAAACTTGAACTGCAAACACCTGCTGCGGGGAGCTGAGTGCCTGGCTGACCCCTCTATTGACACCTCACAAGGGTGAACATCACGCCTGTAGAGTCTATATGAATGGTAATACTTCCATATATGGCTGGCAGAACATATTCCATAATATGGACATATCACCATTCATATATATGGAAATAGTCTACATATGGACATATATATATATATATGTATTAAATATAATTATACACATATATATATATATTATATTATATAAATAATTGAATATATACATATATTAATCATATATATACATATATATATATGTCGCAATATTTATATATATAATTATATATATATGGCAAACATATCCTTGTTTTGTTGCTTTTTACTGAGTAAAAAATAGGCCATTTACGTCGCGCAAAAGCATTGTCTAGCTGCTCAAAGTCCCATGATTTGATTTAGCTGTTTACGTGGCTGTCGGATCACCAATGGCCACCATGAACAAAAACACCATTTATTGCAAGGTTTCGGATGTTTCTTCACCATTTTATATAATTTTATTGGATCACATCTGATAATCTCCTCACTCTTAGTTGCTCCAAGGTTGATTATAGGGTCTGTCCACATTCTTGGACGCTGCGGCATGTTAAGAACACCATGTCTCCCCTGTGGGTTTGGCAATTCCTTCCTAAACCTGGTTTGGAATTGGATATTCATCTGGGGAGCCCATTTTTGGCGGAAATGAAAATCAGGGCCGTGGAACTACTTCCTAAACCATTCACCCGGGTTTACCATCCATTTTGGTCTATAGTCTTTGCGATGTAAAAAAAACTGAATATGAATAATAATGAACATGTTTTTTAATAATCCATCACTGATCCACCAGTTTTCCTTAGACTTTGGATGCATATAATTCCAGTATGTTATAATTGTTCTTATTCATCAGCTATCCACACATGTTCCTTATCCTTAGTTATGCCATCTGGTTATTTAACATAGCCATGGAAAATCCCTCATACATGGAGGTTTTAATGGGAAAATCATCTATAAATGGGCCATCTATACCATGGCTATGTTAAATAACCACATGGTAATTCCAGTATGTTTTTGTATCCGAAGTTCAGCTGCTATCCATTCCCCAGTGACCCGCCTTTCAGTGCAGGGTTCCAGTTGATCCTTGCTGGCCGACAAGGTGGTCACCAGGCCCCCGTAGACCTTGGGAAGCCAGCTTAACACCGTGGCTGGGGGGGTGCCGGTGTCAAAGGTGGCGGGAAAATCCGCTATAAATCATGGGAAATTCATGAGAAAATCATGGGAAAACAATGGGAAAATCATGGGAAACATATGGACAATGAGGTTGTAATGAGAAATTCATTGAACTACGTGGTGGGCTTTCCATTCCTATGTTTGAGAACCGGAGGGTGTATGTTACTTTGCCAGTTCAAAATATACGATTGGGAGAAGACTGGGAATATCATGAGATATGCTATTAATAATGATCTATCATGATAATTGGATATGATAGAACCAGCTTATCTAATGGGTGATTTAATGATGGTCAAATGAAACAAAAAACATATATGTCGTGAAATATATAAACCAAATGAAAAATATATATATATCATATACATATATATATATATGCTAAATTAACCTCTGGTAATTTAACATAGCTATTGAAAATGACCATTTATAGTGGATTTTCCCATTAAACATGGTGGATCTTTCCAGTTCGATTATAGGACAGTTTACCATTTCGGCTATATCTCGAGATATGGTGGGTTAAAAAAAACCTTCAGTGTCCGCTAGGTGGATCGATGGGATCCGAAAAATTCCCTCATGGGGAAAACCAATATAGGTGTCATGCCCAGCATTTTTTTGGCTTGTCTCAATGACGATGGTCCATAGTTGATCATTGCATTCCCCATTATAACATCATTAATAGACCAAGTTTGAGGTATGCTCCATTTTCAACCATGCCCACCTCATATCATTGGTGATATTCACTGGGTTCGTGAAAAAGGAACAAAACACACGGGAACCCATCGTTTGACCCTCAAATCTAGGTGTATCCTTCAGATTTTACCTCCAACCAATCAATTGAGATATATTCATGTCTCCATTAAGCATGGCCATCAATATCCCCATCAAGTATTCCCATATCCCATTATCTATCATGCGCCTGGGAACATGGATTCCCTGAATCCCTGAGCTCCGACTTTCTCCCTCCCAACCACTGGAGAGCTACAAGGTGGTGCCCCCTAGTCCCTAGCTCTAGTTTTAGGGCGTTATAAGTTTGAAGTATTCAAACCCCATCTAACTATGCATATATATATATAATTATAATTATATATATAAGTGTATTACTGACTCATCGAGTTGATCTCTCAGTGAAACAAGGGCCAAAAACTCACCACAAACTCTTACACACACAAACGCACACACACACATACACACACACACATACACACGCACACGCGCACATGCCCACACGCACACACACACATGTACATATATAGATATAGATCATATATATATATATATATATCACTATATAAACATGTATGTATGTATATATTTCAAACATCTAACTACATTATCACCAATATTGATCACCACCTTCGCTCCGAACCGCTCCGAGATGCAGCTGCTTCGGCCGCGACCAGCAGCAAAGTCCAAGCAAACTTCCTGGCGTTGAGCTGAAGGTCGGACTGGTCATGCTAAACCATGTCAAAGTCAGTGGAAAATCACGAAAAACACTCATTGAGTTCTTTTTTGAATGATATTCTCAGCTATAAACCTATACATATTTGATGTTTTTTTTTGGCAGTGCCAGCCATGGTTGAATAGGATAGGGGGTTCAACCATTTATAGATGATGATTTACCTGGGATTGAACCACCAAAATATGGATTTTTTCTACAATTTTTCTGGAGATAGCATTGACCAATGGGGTTTCGTAAAATTCTGGGGGATCCCAACTCCCCAGTCATCATGAATGTAAAGCTATACGAGAAGACGTCATCCATGACGAGTGGAGGACTTGGGGGGAAACAATTTAAGTGTCAAAATCAGTGGAAGATGTCCACTTATGTGCCTTGAACGAATTTGGATCTCAAACATAGATGGTTTACCGTTCTTAATAGCATGGTGATGTTCCATGGCTATATTAAATAACCAGATGGTAATTTGGATCTCAAACAAAACAGGTGAAATTTCTCGAAATGATGTGCAACTAGAGCATAAGACCTAATTCTTCGGGCTTCCCTAAGAACGAATACGACCTGGGAGCTTGAGCCCTGTATGATAGAGATGCCGCCTCCTTGAAACCAATGACCCATTGAAATTCACTCAGACACTTTCATCAATAAATGAATGACGGGGGAATAAAATGGAATAAATGTATCTCTATGATAGAGATGTTCAAATTCTATTATTCAGTATGGTCAACTCTCCATTCCTCAAATACTAAAGGCAAAGAGGTTCATCAAAAAAAGTCCAACAAAACCGGTCTGGTAGTGCCTGGCTATGAAACCTTAAAAGGCTTGTTCACCGGCATCCCTTGGTCAATCCCGTGAGGCAGTTCCCTCGGTGCTAGAATCCCCATCGACAAAGTCTTGTTGGCAAGCTCTCTGTGTGAACGTTTGATGGTTGAATCATGGGAAATACACATGTGTTGCTATGTCTTGCCGGCTGAATCCCTCTCTCCCTCTCTCTTTCTCTATATTTAAAATCTGATGCTGAGGATCGAGGATTAACGAAAGAGACATAATCAAACATATATAACAACATAACAACATACAAAATACAAAAATATACAAAAGCATCATATCATCCAGCACCACCCCATCGCCCCGTTGCGATCACCAAGTCTCTTTGCAGTGAAGCGATGCGTGGGAACCTCCGAGGATTGCTCTGTGCCTTGAGGCTCCATCCTGGAAGCACCACGGGATATACTTTGGCCTTATGGCCTTCATCCATGAATTTCCGTATCATTACCTTCCCGAAATGAAATGAAATGAATATTCTGTGCTGGTTTAGGAGTCCTGGGTTGAACTTACTATACTAATTTAATTGGTGGTTTCAACCCCCCTGAAAAATATTGGTCAGATTGGATCATGATCCCAACTATTGGGGACAATGTAAAATGTTCATCATATATTGCATTATATTAATATTAATGATCATCATAGAAAAGGATGGTGAAAAGGATGGTGAAAAGGATGGTGAAAAGGTCCGTGATGAGTGTAACAGCGCATGCCAGGCCTGCAAGTGAACGTTGGAATCATGAAAATATATACGACATTATATGACATGATCGACAATCCCTATTCAACCCAACGTTTATTGCTGATCTGTCCATCAGCCAACTGTCAAGTTATAATATGTTATAATGATTGTCGGCACCACTATATAATTAATTTAGAAACATTTAGAAGAGTTACCCTCTGGTAATTTAACATAGCTATTGAACATGACCATATTTATAGTGGATGAATCCCCATTGAAAATGGTGGATCTTTCCAGTTCGTTATGGGACAGTTTACCATTTCGGGTTTCGTTGTTCTTGATCTCAAAATCAAAAAGAGCGCAAGAAACGGTCCCATAATTCGACATCTATCCGCCTCGGCTGATGGGAAGCTTCGTCCTCAATGAGGTCGTACGATGCTGACGCCTGCGTGCCGCATCGCAGAAGTTTGGTTTGATCGTTGGTTTTGGCATAGTTTGCCATCATTGTTTGCCAATGTTTGCCATATTTAAGTTCGATTAGCTGTGCCAAACAAGGGGGGGAGTCTCCCTCTACGAATCAACTGAGAAAATATCAAATGAGATCTATGCCTCTGAGCCCACTCGCCTGATCTGATGTCAATACTCTTGCCGCCACCTGGGACTTCTTGTACTCCTCGGAACGGTCAGGTCATGGTGTGGCAACTGTTATGGACTACCAAGAGCAATAGCAACACAGCAGCAGCAGTCACTTTATCATTCCTTGTCATTTTATCTCATCACCTCATACACCTGGCATTCGTTTTCCAACTCAGCAAGCCAGGATCATTGGCCTTGGATTTCACGAGCTTCCATTGAATTGGCACATGTGGCCATGTTTGGCCAATTTTTGGGATTTCAAAACTCACAAACAGCTGTTTGATGGGCCAAACATGTAAAATCACCCTGTGAAATCTGCGGAAATGTCCCAGTTTCCGCGGCCAGTTTGAAGGACAAGAGCATGAAGAAGGTCAGGATCATTCCTCCGAGGCTGTTGAGATTGGACCATTGGCTTGAGACATCGACCAATTTGCGGGGGTCAACTGCGAACTGGTCCTGGCAAGCTTGGGTCAATGCTGCAGTTGTACATGTGGAACCTCGGCAACCGTACCATTTGCGGCAAAATGCGGCAAAGAATGTGGCTACACCGACCCTATGACCCTGAGAAAAGAGTATCAAAAATCAAATGCTACTATAATTTATGACATGTTTGTTTTTTTTCCCTCTAATATATATATATATATAACACATATGTTTTACTATAATCATATAGAGTGTATAAAACTATATAACATGCAAAAACAAAATTAGATATGTAAGATACTATAACATGGTATAACCTTCCCAAGTCAGATTTCAGCAACCGTCTATCCCTACTGTGTTTTGGCGCAGCCTGATGTAGATATGGCTGGCTGAACACGAGTCCTGTGGGAGGCTGACACCAATTCCCCCCGCTTCTTGATCTTCTTGCTTTGCTTGTATGCATGTCATGTCATAGATCATATGGATTATAGATCACCGCAACTGCTCATCCATCCTACACTTTCTGCGCGACTCTTCTTCAAAAGCTTCTCAAATGCTTCTCAGTATGGCAGCACCAGAACCCAGTGCCATCAGTGACAGGCAACGCGTAGCAAACACAAAGGATACTGCTCAGCAGGTTCAATACCTCTTGGAGTTTCTGGTCCGGGGCCGAAAAGTGGCCCCCGCTTGACGGTGGAAGTGGCCCCGCAAATGTTCTGGTGGAATCATGAAGGTCATATAAAATCCACCATTTTGGCTCGGAATAACTCCCTCAGAATCAGACTATCATGCGGCACATGCGTTTGGAAAACTCTTGGTAGCTCCTTGGCTAATACGGATACCGCTCCTGACCCTCTACACACCGAGTGAAATCGTCTCAGAGGTCACCCTGGAGCAAACCCTGGGGCACGGTGTCGCGATTCCTCTTGCAGGACTTCAAATGGATCAAGTCGACCTGAGAGGTTGCGCTGCAAGACGCCGACCTCACCTGGACCCTGGCTTTCCTGATTTTTTTATTTTTTTAATATGGTTCTGTGGGTGATATCTACCAGGTATGCATGGTCCATGGGAGGCACCTGAAATGCAGCTGGTCGAATTGGGGCTTGCCATAGTTGCATGGTCTGGTGATGTTCACAGCCCCGAGCACATTCCCGAAGAATGTCCGACAGGACCTGAATTAAACTGGGCTCCAAAATCATTGGGGCCTGAAACTTCCAGCTTCCACCTTGTACTTTGCTCAGGGTTGCTCCAAATACCCCAATATAAGAAGGGTGGAAATTCGCCAAATAAGTCAATTTCCCCTTGCCAGTTGCTATAATTCACTAATTGGTTGGAGTAACCCTGTTACTGAGGTCATTAACGCATTAACATCCCATAAAATCCCACTGACATATTCCAATCACAACCACATTGAACCCCCATGGGATCCATTTTATAACTTCCACCCCTTGCCAGTCATTGGCCCAGCTGCATTGGGATGGCTGGCAAAACGTCTTTCCAGTTCCGCACTCACCGTCTTGCCTGCCCAACGGCTGGGGGGTGGGGGATGGGTGAAGGGAGAACTTATATAGGAAACCTTGGCTCTTTTTAACTCTTCGGATCTGCAAAAGGGTTTCCTGTAAATGCTCTCCTCATTGAATTTTGGAGAGTTTGGATAGTTTGGGTTTGTTTCAAGCCTCCTCCAATTCCAATTTTCAGTGGATAAGTTGGATTAAGCTTCCCATTTGGGTTCAGAAAAAAAACATGTGACCCCCTGAGATCTCAGAAGGTTGACCTCATGGCCGGCGATCACATGTTTTTTTTTCATTTCTTTGCATGTCAAACGCCCTGATTCGCAATTATACATTAAATATATTGACGTTATATCTCCACACACACACAGGCAAACACACACACATATATATATATATATACATGTATATATATATATATATGTGTGTGTGTGTGTTGAAAAATATATGATTACATATATTTATATACACAAGATGCACAAATAAATCATGCACATGGAATCGAAGGAGAATTTGTCATTGGTTATTCTGGTCCTGGCCAATTTAGGCTTGTGTGCGCCTAGAGATTCCTAAGATACCCTTTGGCAATCAAACATGGCAATGGGGCATTCCCATCAAAAATGGAGGTTCTATGGGAAAATCATCCAATCAAATCGGTCTTTTTTCCATTGCCATGTTGGAGTTTGATCACCGGAGGATAAACAAAAACGCCAACTCAACCACCTGCAACGCCCGCCAAACTCTTGAAGGGCTGCGCCTGAGAAAACTGAAGGTGACACATGGTGACACGGTGACAGTAAAATCACACTCCACCAACTGAGGATGAGTGATGAGACGCACAGTATATAGACACCATACAATGTTAATAAGTTACAACGACTTCACTGCGACTTCACTGCAATGATGATTAGATATGGTTAGTAGGGGTAGGTCTTCCAAAATGACGTTAAATCAGGTTGGTGAAGTGTCATCATAATGTATGTCAATATTGCAATTAAATCTGAATCCACTTCATGCCTGGCTAAATGGACCATCACGTGCAAACAACAGGAGCCTTTGACTGGCCAACTCCACAACCGGTTTTTCGAATCCAGGGACCGTTGAGGTTTTAATCAGGAAAAACAAATATGTTCATCGTTCAACAAGTAGTTTATATAACTACTATATAACTCATATACAAAGCTTGGGTGGGCACTAAAAATATTCAACACGAGCCATGGGATTTGACAATCTGGGTCCCTTTGGTCATCGCCAAGCCACAAGTCCGGACAGCAGGAGGTACCACGGCAAGGGGCAAACCTCTCTGGATCATCAGGATCACAGGACCATGAAAATTGACCGCGGGGCCCCGGGTGAAATATTGCAGCAAACACACCAGGAAAATGGATGACATGCGCAATGCGCAAAACAAGTTCCTTCCGGAAATCAAAATCATTCAAAATCAACGAACGTGATTAGTACCCCTGATGGGTTCGAGGCCTCAGAAGCAAGGATTCAAGGCTTCGAGGTTCAGAAAATCAATCCAGCATAATCCAGCCAGGGTCTTCCAGCCAGTCAGTGCCAACATCATCCCTGTGATCATCACACTTCGTACCTAGATGTTTGATTATTAGCTTGGTAAATCACAAACAGAGAGAACCATGGCGAGCTGTTGCCCTTGCAGCAAATGTCAACATATAGCCACCACTGAATTTGCACCATGCTGACACATTTCTCAGTGCTAATTTCCCATCAAGCTTCCCCTATCACCAACCTCGAAAAAAACACAGATTTGTTGCCATGGGTAATTACTCCAGGATGCCATTCAATAAACAGCTGCAAATATGAGTAAATATGACTTAATCCTGCCAAGACATGACATTTCATGATGGGTGCCCATATGTTTCGCTTTCTTTTGGGGCGTCCTGACGCCCTGTCCGAACAACAACATCCACGTCACCTGGGTTCCCCCTACCAAGCAACCATTATATATATAATATTATATAATATGACTGGTGGTGATGTTCCTGCCATTCACCAAAGTTTACCCAGTTTATGCTAAACAACTAAATAGAAATGGATAGACTGAGGTAATGTCAAGTTAGGATTTATAATCCCCGCGGTATTAATCAACCCCCTCCCCTCTGCCCATTTTTTTTGTAATTTAAAAACAGGTGGTCCCCCAGGATTAATAAACCGTTTGGCTGGGACATGATTAATCAACCCCCTGTGCTGAAATCATTTTGTTAATCCACAATTATTGATAAAATTCATCACATGCACGCATGCACAAACGCGAAGTGTGATGGACTTCAATCCAATGGAATCTTATGGGTTCCATGAGATTTTAAGACTTAAATCTTATCAAATCCAATGGTTTTAAGAGTCAAATCTTATCAAAACCACTGGAATCTTATGGGTTCCATGAGGTATCAACTATCAAATCTAATCATATCCAAAATTTTATGGTTCAGGGGCCGTTTATGGTGTTTATATGTGTTTATTTAGGGTGGATACAGGAAAGACCTTACGGTAGGTACCTAGCTACCTTGTGGGGGGGGGTGCCGGGCCTGAGCCACGACGATGGTCCCCGTGGCAAAGGCGTTAAGGAAGAAGCTGAGGCACAACCACCTGTCCCAGGGTCCGGGCCCCAAGGGCAAGCGCCCCTTGGGATTGAAACAACTTGACATTGTTCATAAGGAGATATCACTGATATATAACTTTGATATATAACTTAGCATGATGTAAGTCCAATATAACTGAATTGATCCAATCTTTAGTATAGTTTGCCATCCCTTGAACATATACCTATCTAACATTACATCCCATTGAATCCTTGTTCTGGATGCGAAAAAAATCACCGTGTAATTTGACCATGGCATATATCTCTGAAAAAACGAGACTTGACAAATCTTGACAATGTAACACGACTATCATATATCATGAATTATTATGATTTACTATGATTTACTATGATTTATTATGATTTACTATGATAACATTATGATTTACTATGGTAAAATTATGATATTTCTATATATTTCTTATGACCGTCAAAAACGACCATCCAACAGCTTCATCGAACACATCACTATTCGGCGAACATCGGCTACCTATGATCGTAGTGCTTGGCGAACATCGGCAACCCACCTAAGGAAACCGGGGGTTTCCAGTGAAGCAAAGAGGACCAGCACATGCACACCAAGGCAAAGTTCTATACATGTTAAAACATGTTCAAACAATGATAGAAAATGATCGAAGCTATTGAAACGGGATGTAGTAAGAGGGCCTGGATGGGACTCCTAGATTCTGCAAGAAGAAGTGCTGAACTTAGCGACTCAAACTAGAATGAGGCTCAAGCTATCCCATCACAGGACCTGTTCCCAAACCTGCTACAATTATAAATCCCCTTTATGCTGGTTGGCTGATAGGGATCACTATGATGAACTACGTACAGCATTACAGTAAGGTCTTCATCAAACCAGCCCCGCGCATCTAAAAGCAAATGCCTGAAACCGAGAGTTCTCCATTTGGCGTTCATTTTCATTCAAGCTAGGGGGAGGTGCACCTCCCCCCCCCCAACCCTTGCTCCAAGCCCGCTCAAGCTAGAAGTGGCTGCACCACCCCCCCCTCCAGCCTTGCTAGTATCATCTTCCTGCACAACGCACCATCCCCTACCTCAAAGCCTAAATATCCACCACCCCCAGCTTACCTTCAGACCATGGGAGATGCACCACCCCCCCCCAGCTGTGCCCATCCAAGGTTGGGGGGGGTGCACCACCCCCCCCCAGCTGTGCCCATCCAAGGTGGGGGGGGTACACCACCCCCCCCACCTCCACCCCTTCAAGGGGAGAGATCTTTTGATCCGTTTCGTTTCGCTTCTTTTCCTTTGTGCCTTGTTATTGTTGTTCTCGTTGTTGTTCTTCCTTCTTCTTCTTGTTCTTGTGTCTGGCGTCGTCTGTCTTGTATTGTGCCTTAAACATTACCCCACATAAATTTCCTAAGGCTGGTGGGGGGCATGGGGGGGAGGGCGCAGCGCCTCCCCCCAAAGAACACAGGAAGAACAGCGTTCTGGTTTTGATCCGTTTCCTTTCTGTTCTTTTCCTTTGTGCCGTGTTATTGTTATTCTCGTCGTTGTTCTTCCTTCTTCTTTCTGTTGTTGTCTCTGGTGTCGTCGTTTTTGCCCCCCACCAGCCTTAGGAAACAATACAAGACAGACGACACCAGACACAAGAACAAGAAGAAGAAGGAAGAACAACAACGAGAACAACAAGAACAAGGCACAAAGGAAAAGAAGCGAATCGAAACGGATCAAAGCCAGAACGCTGTTCTTCCTGTGTTCTTTGGGGGGGAGGCGCTGCGCCCTCCCCCCCATGCCGCCCCACCAGCCTTAGGAAATTTATGTGGGGTAATGCTTAAGGCACAATACAAGACAGACGACGCCAGACACAAGAACAAGAAGAAGAAGGAAGAACAACAACGAGAACAACAATAACAAGGCACAAAGGAAAAGAAGCGAAAGGAAACGGATCAAAGCCAGAACGCTGTTCTTCCTGTGTTCTTTGGGGGGGAGGCGCTGCGCCCTCCCCCCCATGCCCCCCACCAGCCTTAGGAAATTTATGTGGGGTAATGTTTAAGGCACAATACAAGACAGACGACACCAGACACAAGAACAAGAAACAAGAAGGAAGAACAACAACGAGAACAACAATAACAAGGCAGAAAGGAAAAGAAGCGAAACGAAACGGATCAAAGCCAGAACGATGTTCTTCCTGTGTTCTTTGGGGGGGACGCGCTGCGCCCTCCCCCCCATGCCCCCCACCAGCCTTAGGAAATTTATGTGGGGTAATGTTTAAGGCACAATACAAGACAGACGACACCAGACACAAGAACAAGAAAGAAGAAGGAAGAACAACAACGAGAACAACAATAACAAGGCACAAAGGAAAAGAAGCGAAACGAAACGGATCAAAGCCAGAACGCTGTTCTTCCTGTGTTCTTTGGGGGGGAGGCGCTGCACCCTCCCCCCCATGCCCCCCACCAGCCTTAGGGAATTTATGTGGGGTAATGTTTAAGGCACAATACAAGACAGACACACCAGACACAAGAACAAGAAGAAGAAGAAAGAACAACAACGAGAACAACAATAACAAGGCACAAAGGAAAAGAAGCGAAACGAAACGGATCAAAGCCAGAACGCTGTTCTTCCTGTGTTCTTTGGGGGGGAGGCGCTGCGCCCTCCCCCCCATGCCGCCCCACCAGCCTTAGGAAATTTATGTGGGGTAATGTTTAAGGCACAATACAAGACAGACGACGCCAGACACAAGAACAAGAAGAAGAAGGAAGAACAACAACGAGAACAACAATAACAAGGCACAAAGGAAAAGAAGCGAAACGAAACGGATCAAAGCCAGAACGCTGTTCTTCCTGTGTTCTTTGGGGGGGAGGCGCTGCGCCCTCCCCCCCATGCCCCCCACCAGCCTTAGGAAATTTATGTGGGGTAATGTTTAAGTTTAAGGCACAATATAAGACAGACGACACCAGACACAAGAACAAGAAAGAAGAAGGAAGAACAACAACGAGAACAACAATAACAAGGCACAAAGGAAAAGAAGCGAAACGAAACGGATCAAAGCCAGAACGCTGTTCTTCCTGTGTTCTTTGGGGGGGAGGGCGCAGCATGCCCCCCACCAGCCTTAAGAAATTTATGTGGGGCAATGTTTAAGGCACAATACAAGACAGACGACACCAGACACAAGAACAAGAAGAAGAAGGAAAAACGACAACGAGAACAACAATAAGAAGGCACAAAGGAAAAGAAGCGAATCGAAACGGATCAAAGCCAGAACGCTGTTCTTCCTGTGTTGCCCCCCACCAGCCTTAGGAAATTTATGTGGGGTAATGTTTAAGGCACAATACAAGACAGACGACACAAGAACAAGAAACAAGAAGGAAGAACACCAACGAGAACAACAAGAACAAGGCACAAAGGAAAAGAAGCGAAACGAAACGGATCAAAGCCAGAACGCTGTTCTTCCTGTGTTATGCCCCCCACCAGCCTTAAGAAATTTATGTGTGGCAAATGTTTAAGGCACAATACAAGACAGACGACACCAGACACAAGAACAAGAAGAAGAAGGAAGAACAACAACGAGAAGAAAAATAACAAAGCACAAAGGAAAAGAAGCGAAACGAAACGGATCAAAGCCAGAACGCTGTTCTTCCTGTGTTCTTTAGGAAATTTATGTGGGGTAATGTTTAAGGCACAATACAAGACAGACGACACCAGACACAAGAACAAGAAGAAGAAGGAAGAACAACCAGGAGAACAACAATAACAAGGCATAAAGGAAAAGATGCGACACGAAACGGATCAAAGCCAGAACGATGTTCTTCCTGTGTTCTTTGGGGGGGAGGCGCGGCGCCCTCCCCCCCATGCCCCCCACCAGCCTTAAGAAATTTATGTGGGGCAATGTTTAAGGCACAATACAAAACAGACGACACCAGACACAAGAAGAAGAAGAAGAAGGAAGAAGAAGAAGGAAGAACAACAACGAGAACAACAATAACAAGGCACAAAGGAAAAGAAGCGAAACGAAACGGATCCAGGCCAAAACGATGTTCTTCCTGTGTACTACTACTACTACAACTACAACTACAACTACTACTACTACTACTAGTACTAGTACTAGTACTACTACTACTTCTACTACTACTACTACTATTACTACTAGTACAACTACTACTACTACTGCTGCTGCTACTACTGCTACTACTACTCCTACTCCTGCTCCTACTCCTACTCCTACTACTACTCTACTACTCTACGACTCTACTACCCTACTACTCTATTACTCTATTATTCTACTACTCTACTACTCTACTGTTACTACGACGACGCCGACGACGACGAGGACGACGACGACGACTACTACTACTACTATTACTACTACTACTACTACTAATACTACTACTACTACTCCTCCTGCTACTACTACTACTACTTCTACTACTACTACTACTACTCCTGCTGCTACTACTACTACTACTACTCCTGCTGCTTCTGCTGCTGCTACTGCTACTGCTACTGCTACTGCTATTACTACTACTATTGCTACTGCTATTACTACTACTATTACCACTACAACTACTTGTACTACTACTACTACTATTATTACTACTACTATTACAACTACAACTACTACTACTACCACTACTACTACTACCACTACTACTACTACTACTACTACTACTACTACTACTACTACTATCAACAACTAACTCCAAAGCGTAAATTTGTGTTATGCTACTACTACTACTACTACTACGACGACGACTACTACTACTACTACTGCTTCTACTTCTAGTCAGGCCAAAATCTAAAAAAAGATTTGCTGCGAGATGAGGAGTAGTGGGTGGTGGAGCCTTCCCTCCTGATCGTTGGAAGCTGGGGGGAGGGGGTCACTCCGCCCTGTTTGTCGGCAGCTGAGGGGGGGGGTGGTGGACCCACCCCCCCCTTGTTTGTCGGCAGCTGAGGGGGGGGTGGTGGACCCACCCTCCCCTTTGTGAATGGCTACAGTGACTATGAATGGCTATAGTGACAAAGCTGGGGGGGGGTGGTGCACCCCCCCTCCCCAAGTTGAAGAAGAACACAAGTGAGCAAACTATCCTGAAACCACTCTCAAACCCGAAACCAGTCCAAAACCACTCTGAAACCAGTTTAAAAGGTCATTTCAAAGGACCCCATGTAACCATTAACTAATCCTCACAGGTGTTGTGGGCACCGCTACTTGTTCAACTGGGCGAAACTGGGGGCAACCGCTATCTCCCCCAAGATCACCTACTAACGACGCCGACCAAGCTGCTAAGTAGGCCGCTGAGTATACTCACAAAATCCAAATACAACATCAAGAAGCACGCAAAAGCCTTGGTCATCATGAGTCAAAACTATTCAAACCTGTACCCCCCAGGGTTTTGAAGAAATAGCTGGTAAATGGATGTGTGTTCCCCCAACAATTAACAGGTTTTGCCTTGACTCTCCGTCTCTGTCCAAGTGATTCCATGAACAGTGACATGCAGCGACCGAAACTCTTGCAGAAATACCCACACTCAAAGATGTCCCGGAAGGGAATTCATGGGAATAAGAACCAACAATATTTCTTTTCTTGGGCTCCTTCCCCTTTGAAAAGCATGAGTAAACAATCACTATACTGGAACATTGATCAAGCATCCCTTCTTCTACAGTATGTAGTCGCCTACATAGCCTACATGAGTGTTCAAATACCTACTGGCCACGGCCAGAAACATACAATTGTCAATTCAAGATCATCATCCTGTTTGTGGGGATGGGAACAACGTAGATATTTGAACCCACCAGCTAGATCAGTCTTTGTCACACACACACATCCATATTATGGTTGGTGAACCTTCATTTACAGTATCTGACAGGATGTCAAAATTTCACCTGAAGTGAGGACGATTCGGGACAGCTACCCAGCAATCTCCCCTGAATTTCCCAATTCTTAACCCTCTGGTAAACATACAAAAAGCTATTGAACATGGCCTCTTATAGTGAGTTTTCCCATTAAACATGGTGATTTTCCATGGTTATGGGACAGTTTACCAGAGGGTACCACCATCTCCCATCATTTCTGTTGGTCAATTCCCGGTGAAACCACCATAGAACCGCCAAGTGATTCACCATGCACCACGACTGTCACTGCATTGTCAAGGGGCCGGGCTTTTGGTGCCATCTCCCACCCCAGCCACATACCTTGCAACGCCAAGGAGGGATTGGTGTCAAGGAAACTATCACATATCAAATTGTTGATGACATATCCCATTAAATTAACCATTAATGTCATATCAATATCAGAAAACGTGGTTTTCAGCCTCCAAAATCGTTGAATCGTTGACCATTCTTATTCTTGGAGGTTTCCCATGACTGTTCGCTTGAGCTATGGAATGAGTAAATTTAAAAATTGGCTACAACAATGTAAGCTAAACACATCTACACACCAAGGAAGTTTCTGAAATTGATGGAATTTCTATCCTTTCATATCTAGTCTATGCTATTTTCATCTAATTTCAAGAGCATCATTTTGATGCTCAACAACATGTAACTCAAACACATCCAAAACTTGGGGAGAACGACAAACAAATCTAGGCCGCGGCCGGTTGGTGGTTTCAACCCCTCTGAAAAATATTAGTCAGTTGGGGGTTATTTCCAATATATATATATATATATGTGGAAAAATAAATTAAAGGACCGGATAACCCCACAAGTCAACTTCTTCCTAAAATGAGCTTCAATGGTTTCAGCGGGGACAGGGAAGGAAGGAAAGACAAAGGAGGTGGTGAAAGATCGTGTATGTATGTATGTATGTAGGTATGTATGCATGCATGCATGCATGTATGCATGTATGTATGCATCCGACGATGATGACATAGAGGAAAGGTACCTGGCCGCAGAAGTGTTGAACACGAATGTAGCTGGTTGTCAATGCAACTATGGAAGACACGACACAGTCACAGTCACAGGCAAACACCATGACACTAACTGTGCAGGTTTTTCCAAAGATGTCAAGCAACCGCACAGTTCAGAAACACACAGGCGTCGCGATTTTTTCCACATAAGTGTCGGTTCGCCACGCATCTGCATACGCTTTTTCCCACATTGGGTCAAAGCTCTGGCTCCCGACGTCATAGATTGCTTGACTCAGTGTCGGGCGGTGAGACACGCGCCTGTCCTCCGTCCAAGAAGCTCACTGGAAGGGCACCTGCGGCAGTTGCAAACACGCAGAGGCTTCATGCGTGCTATCTTGTTACTACATGACAGCTGCAATAGCTCGGCACAGCATGAACCCCAAGAACCAATCTATTCTACATAGCTTAACCACAGTAGATATCTTATTGATCAACCGTATAGATGGTCCACACTACGCCGCAAGTGCAGCTCCCGGCCTGCGCATTACTTCACCATTGACAAGCAACACCTGGCAGCACAGAAAAAGGTTCAAGACGAAACCACAAAGTAAAATATATAGTTCTTTGGTAGAGATCCACAGCGCAGCCTGCAGTTGTTGGTACCACGCCTGCCACGCAAAACGACGGTAGATGTGAGGTTGTGCCACGCCTGCCACGTGAAACGAAGGTGGATGTGTGTTTGTGCCACGCCTGCCACGCAGAAGTGGCGCGGCGTCACGGGCGTCACGCGCGCCTAAACCCAGTCCAAGCGCGCCACCCAGTGCCATGTGTACCACGCCTGCCACGCAAAACGACGGTAGATGTGAGGTTGTGCCACGCCTGCCACGTGAAACGAAGGTGGATGTGTGTTTGTGCCACGCCTGCCACACAGAAGTGGCGCGGCGTCACGGGCGTCACGCGCGCCTAAACCAAGTCCAAGCGCGCCACCCAGTGCCATAAGTGCCACGCCTGCCACGCAAAACGACGGTAGATGTGAGGTTGTGCCACGCCTGCCACGTGAAACGAAGGTGGATGTGTGTTTGTGCCACGCCTGCCACGCAGAAGTGGCGCGGCGTCACGGGCGTCACGAGAACCATAAACCAGCTCAAGCGCCACCCAGTGCCATGTGTACCACGCCTGCCACGCAAAACGACGGTAGATGTGAGGTTGTGCCACGCCTGCCACGTGAAACGAAGGTGGATGTCACCAAGTGCCACGCCTGCCACGCAGAAGTGGCGCGGCGTCACGGGCGTCACGCGCGCCTAAACCCAGTCCAAGCGCGCCACCCAGTGCCATAAGTGCCACGCCTGCCATGCAAAACGACGGTAGATGTGAGGTTGTGCCACGCCTGCCACGTGAAACGAAAGTGGATGTGTGTTTGTGCCACGCCTGCCACGCAGAAGTGGCGCGGCGTCACGGGCGTCACGCGCGCCTAAACCCAGTCCAAGCGCGCCACCCAGTGCCATGTGTACCACGCCTGCCACGCAAAACGACGGTAGATGTGAGGTTGTGCCACGTCTGCCACGTGAAACGAAGGTGGATGTCACCAAGTGCCACGCCTGCCACGCAGAAGTGGCGCGGCGTCACGGGCGTCACGCGCGCCTAAACCCAGTCCAAGCGCGCCACCCAGTGCCATAAGTGCCACGCCTGCCACGCAAAACAACGGTAGATGTGAGGTTGCGCCACGCCTGCCACGTGAAACGAAGGTGGATGTGTGTTTGTGCCACGCCTGCCACGCAGAAGTGGCGCGGCGTCACGGGCGTCACGCGCGCCTAAACCCAATCCAAGCGCGCCACCCAGTGCCATGTGTACCACGCCTGCCACGCAAAACGACGGTAGATGTGAGGTTGTGCCACGCCTGCCACGTGAAACGAAGGTGGATGTGTGTTTGTGCCACGCCTGCCACGCAGAAGTGGCGCGGCGTCACGGGCGTCACGCGCGCCTAAACCCAGTCCAAGCGCGCCACCCAGTGCCATGTGTACCACGCCTGCCACGCAAAACGACAGAGTGTGTGTGTGTGTGCGCGTGTGTGTGTGTGTGAAGTGATTGTCTGTTAAGTTTGTGTATGTTAAGTTTGTGTGTGTGAAATTATTGTATGTGAAGTTTGTGTGTGTGAAATTATTGTATGTTAAGTTTGTGTGTGTGTGAAGTTATTGTCTGTTAAGTTTGTGTGTGTGTGTTAAGTTTGTGTGCGTTAAGTTTGTGTATGTTAAGTTTGTGAAGTTATTGTCTGTTAAGTTTGTGTGTGTTAAGTTTGTGTGTGTTAAGTTTGTGTGTGTGTGAAGTTATTGTCTGTTGTATGTGAAGTTTGTGTGTGAAATTATTGTATGTTAAGTTTGTGTGTGTGAAGTTATTGTCTGTTAAGTTTGTGTGTGTTAAGTTTGTGTGTGTTAAGTTTGTGTATGTTAAGTTTGTGAAGTTATTGTCTGTTAAGTTTGTGTGTGTGTTAAGTTTGTGTGTGTTAAGTTTGTGTGTGTGAAGTTATTGTCTGTTAAGTTTGTGTGTGTTAAGTTTGTGTGCGTGAAATTATTGTATGTGAAGTTTGTGTGTGTGAAATTATTGTATGTGAAGTTTGTGTGTGTGAAGTTATTGTCTGTTAAGTTTGTGTGTGTTAAGTTTGTGTGTGTTAAGTTTGTGTGTGTTAAGTTTGTGTGTGTGAAATTATTGTATGTTAAGTTTGTGTGTGTTGTGTTACGGAGGCGGCGGGAGGAGGAGGAGAAGCCCGGGATACAGAATCAAAAACAAGAACCCCACACAAAGATGTGGGGAAAAATGTTCCAAACCACCAACCAGTAGGTCTTCCAAAGGGTCAAAAACTCATCTGCGCACTCAGAATTGATTCATCTGTGCACTCACCCTTTTACTCCATTCTTGACTCATCTGTGCACTCAAACGCACTCAAACTTGACTCATCTGTACACGGATGGGGTTGGGGCTGGGGTGGGGTGCCAATAACGCTCATGTTCCCATGCGCACGCACGCGCAGTACACACTCATCATGTCTTGGGATGGGGTTGGGGTAAAGTAGAAAGACATGACTCAGGACTATGCATGATCTCAGACTGGCGAAGCTTCGCGTGCAAGGACGAGTTCACAAAAAAATACGTGTGTACAGACGCACTAACCCTGCCAAAGTGGGCTCAAATCTGCTGATTGTGCATTTTTCATCACCTCCCTAAACATCATAGCCGCTTAATTGGAAAATGAATGGGCTGCTGCTCTCCGCTTCGCAAACATGGCTGGATGCGATTTCCCTGCTGGCCGCTGCTAGTTGGGAATGGATGGCGATGGATAACTTTGATATTTCAATTACCAGCTTTGATCGAGGGTAATTCAGCTTCAGGAATGTTACCTAATCAGAGCCTTATGTTACAATGTACAGACATATTTTAAAAAACAAACTAGGATCCTAGGTAGTCCCTGCATCTTGGATGCCTCAGTCATTTCAATCGGCCTTTGCCTTGTTCATTGGGCCAGTCCTGCACGTTTATCCCTTCGGGCCCTTCAGGGTAACTGTTTTCCCTCCTCTTGCTACTGTGCTATATCATACCATGGTTGCCCTCCACAATCTCCAGAAAATCGATGTTGTTCGTCCAAGTTGCTTCCAAAAAATGAAGTAATTGAGCAGGCTACTTGGCCACACAGTCACGATTTGGCCGGTGGACAAACATTGCACAACAAAATGGATCATGCACATTCATGTTGGATTCATGTGCTACGTGTGCAGAAAAGAACACATCGGAACTGGCTGAAGGTAAACACCTGACTTCACACCGCATTCACAATGCATCGGCATGAAACTGCACATCCAAGGTTTCCTGATGAGGAAGTCGAAGATTACCTATGGAGTCGGTGTTTTCCCGGAACCTTTTAAAGAACACCAGATGTCCAAGCATCATGGGGGTGGCCACGATGCTAACCACCAATTCGTAGGCCATGTATTCATCATAGCCATCCGGCATGGAGGTAGGCCAGCCTGGTTCTCATTGAAAGGCCCATTTCGGGGATGTGAGATTTCCCCTTGCCACGCTCGCCAGAGGCTAATGAGATATGAATGGGCTATTTATGTAAAGTAACCCTGGAAAAACGTGACAAAGCAGCGGGAAACTGCCTATTTCTCCATAATTTGCCTTTAAAATATTGCAAATGGCTAGGTCAGATATCCTGTGTTTTTCACCAATGCGGGTCGCAGTCGGGTCAGTTCCAGTGGTCGGCCAGAACTTGATATCTCTCCTTCCTGGCATATCATGGAGACAATCTATTTTCATGACTGGACCATGAATTACCCTCTAGTAAACTAACATAGCTATTGAAAATGGCCATAGAAATAGTGGATTTTCCCATTAATAGCATGGTGATTTTCCATAGTTATGGGACAGTTTACCAGAAGGTATTGAAAAACAAATTCCATAGTTTCAATTCCATAGTTAAAGCTTTGGTTAGCTGAGGGATAATACCAATTCCATAGTTATGTTTGTTTTCCATAGTTATGTTAGTTTACCAGAGGGTAAAAAAGAAACAAATTGAATTGAAAATCCCAAATAGGTCGAAGTCTGTTGAAATTGTCATCGCGCATTGACCCCGCCTGGAGGAAAGAAGATCCCCGAACGGGCTTTGGAACTGCTCGGCAACCGGGTGCAGGGTCCAAGTTCATACCTTTCCTGGCAACGTCCCAAAAACTCCCAACAATATCCAACATCTTCAGATTCCACTCAGTTCTGGTATTCCCATTCCGACTGTTCATCAAGTCCCAAAATACTAAATGGGGCAAAGATCTTTTGTACTATGTGGTATGTCGCAGTAACACATGAGCCGTTGACATAGAAAATTGTGGTGATGTCAGAGCTGTTTCGTGTGCAACAAACATTGGATCGACAATAACAAAAGAAGTGATTGGTGGTTTCAACCCCTCTGAAAAATATTGGTCAGTTGGGATGATTATTCCCAATATATGGAGAAATAAAATTAATGTTCCAAACCACCAACCAGAGAAACATGTGAACTTCACATGTCCAAAAAACTGGCAAACAAAAAGGGCAACGTCGGAAATTGACTGCCAAAAAGGAGAGATCCCGCACTAAATCAAGGTTTCAGGTGTTGATTGGTGAAAAAACTTGGGAGAAGGGATGATAATTGGGTTGTCTGAAACATGCTACCTCTAGAATCCAATTGTGAACCATGTGTTATTCCTACTATTATTTTTCTTCTATTTTAGGGGGTATACGCAATTTTCAGACACCCCCAAATATCAGACTGTTGACGGGATATCCTATTGATATCCCACTAATATTCCCATATCGTTGTGATTGGCTTATATTTACCCTCTGGTTATTAAAAATAGCTATGGAAAATTGCCAATTTATCATGTATAGATGATTTATGATGATTTACCTATTAAAAATGGTGATTTCTCATAGCCTCTGGTATATCCCTATGGTTGCTAGACTATCCCCCACTTTGGTTGGTTATAGCCCTTCGATGGTTGGTTATCAATCCTATTGAATAACATCAATTCCAATTATTAGTCCATCTTTATGCCATGTACAAAAAAAATAAACGCATTGATAGACCCCATGAAACCTCCCTAAAATTCAGCCAAAGAATCGTCTCGCAGTCTCACGCTCTGCCCATCTTCTTCCAGTTCAGATGCTACGGGGTGATCGGTAGCCACACCATCCTGATACAAAGCCCGATAGGTTGGGATATAACATGATGTTTGACCCTGAAAAATGTTATCCACTTTTAGCAAAATAGCCTGACCTGAAAAAGTAAACATATTGATATGAAATAATTATATATATAATGTAAATCTATAGTTAACTTAATAGTTCACTGTGTGGACATATTGTGTCATTGCCATACATAAATATCATCTCGAAAAACCAATGGCTATCCAAGGAAATGATCTACACATATGATAACATATATTAAACATGTATATCCGATATCTGTATGCTGTCCAGCTCTATTTATTGAATCTTGAATTACTGTACGGGTGTTGGGTAAGTGACTCAAGCTTCAGGCTGATTGGTGCTTGGTTCATCTTGGTTCGTTGGATCCTGTTCTTACCTTGGTGGAATTCATTGGAATTCCTTGAAACCACCAACCTCTTACCCGGCAAACCCCATCCGTCACAAAGAAGTCAGGTTGCGTCTTGCCTCAAATCACCGTTTGACGTTTCAAACAAGCAAATTCAATTGAACATTAACGTGGAACCACGTCCCGGAGTGACAATTATGTGGTCATAGGACTCCTTAAAATCTGGAACCACAAAACATACTGCCTTTCGTCATTTTTCCTAAGGAATCGCATCGTTTGGCCCAGAAACCGTGGTTTAGTTAGTGAATGTCTAGTAGGGGATTTACATGGATTTATACTTATTTTGGATCAGTTAGGGTGTGTTTTTAATCAGAGATGGTCTATCAGATAGTCTATCATGCTATGAACAGGCCAATGCAAGCACTGCTTTCTACGGAATTTGATCCGCCTACAGGCATTGCAATGGTCATCAATAAGATTTCTCAAACAAACGTCATTTTTGGGAGTTGCACGTGTTTGCTTCTTTTTTCTTCTGGGAATTTCAGGTGCGTATTCTTTTTCACATTTTTTTTCACTTACCCTCTCCAACTTGGGCTAGAGATAGGTGCCGTGCACAAGTTCCAAGGACTGATGCGAAGGATCTCGAATGAGGATCATGAGGTGAGTTGGCAACTTTTCTCACGACTTTTGAAGACATTTGAATACCCACTGGGACCCACTGCATGGCATGTTTGACAGGCCATTGACGGTACTTATCAGTGAAGTCAGGAACGAATCAAGGGACAAATCAGCAACAAACACCGAAGTCCACTGATAATTGCCACCAGTTGGGTGATCCAGGTCTACATATTAGTATATATTCTAAATGTATATAATTATGTGTATATATATATACACAGTTGTTTATAATATAATTAATGAAATTGGATATGCCCGGGCGTACGCCAACGCAACCACAAAATGCCAAGAATCTTGATCGAACCACACGCCATCCACACTCATTAAAGCCTTTCCCGGAATCCTGAGTCATACCCTCTGGCAATGAAACATGGCCACATGGGGAAGCGATATGTTAAAACATTGCATATAGTAACCCATAAAACAGATAGGACAAAAAACATACATCACACTACCATGCTGACGGATGCTGATTTAATGTTCTATTTCCTTTGGTGATTACTATAAAATGCGATAAATTGACTTAGGCATCGGATATCATAGGTGGCTGAATGCCGTTTTTTCCGCCAGGTTAAACCGCTCTTCTGGGCGGCTACCAGCGTCAACACCATGGTCAGTGGCCCAACAGGCCAAGCGATAGTCGGCTGTTCTAGAAAGCACCATGGCAGTCCAGTTTATCTCTCTCTTTCTCTCTCTCTCTGCAGTTTATCTCTGTCTTGTTGATTGTTGCAAATGCAAAAGACCATCAGTTTTTTAGTCAAAATTGGCTTCCATAAAATATGAAACCATATATTCTATTCACAACTTGAGAGGGGGAACACGAAAGGTAGGTAAGCAAGAAAGGAACCGAAGAAAAAATGAAGGGGAGAGGGGAGGGAAAAATACATAAAGTGGAGTCTGGTAAACGCGGCCATTTTCTTTCCAAAAATATGAAGGGGAGTCTGCTAAAAGCGACTGAAAGGCTTCGGCGATGTGGTTGGGGTTGGTGGTGGTTGTGGTGTTGCTGGTGTTGGTGGTGCTGGTGGTGTTGGTGTTGTTGGTGGTGGTAGTGTTTCTGGTGTTGCTAGTGTTGTTAGTGTTGTTGGTGTGGTTGGGTTTGTTGGTGGTGTTGGTGTTGTTGGTCGTGTTGTTGGTCGTGTTGTTGGTGTTGGTATTGTTCGTGTTCGTGTTGTTGTTGTTGTTGCTGTTGCTGTTGTTGCTGCTGCTGCTGTTGATGGTGTTGTTGTTGTTGTTGCTGCTGCTGCTGTTGATGGTGTTGTTGTTGTTGTTGTTGTTGTTGTTGTGTGTTGTTGTGTGTTGTTGTGTGTTGTTGTGTGTTGTTGTGTGTTGTTGTGTGTTGTTGTGTGTTGTTGTGTGTTGTTGTGTGGTGTTGTGTGTTGTTGTGTGTTGTTGTGTGTTGTTGTGTGTTGTTGTGTGTTGTTGTGTGCTGTTGTGTGTTGTTGTGTTGTTGTGTGTTGTTGTGTGTTGTTGTGTGTTGTTGTGTGTTGTTGTGTGTTGTTGTGTGTTGTTGTGTGTTGTTGTGTGTTGTTGTGTGTTGTTGTGTGTTGTTGTGTGTTGTTGCGTGTTGTTGTGTGTTGTTGTGTGTTGTTGTGTGTTGTTGTGTGTTGTTGTGTGTTGTTGTGTGTTGTGGTGTGTTGTGGTGTGTTGTTGTGTTGTTGTTTGTTGTTGTGTGTTGTTGTGTGTTGTTGTGTGTGTGTGTTGTGGTGTGTTGTGGTGTTGTTGTGTGTTGTTTGTGTTGTTGTGTGTGTTGTTGTTGCGTTGTTGTGTTGTTGTGTGTTGTGGTGTGTTGTTGTGTGTTGTTGTGTGTTGTTGTGTGTTGTTGTGTGTTGTTGTGTGTTGTTGTGTGTTGTTGTGTGTTGTTGTGTTGTTGTGTGTTGTTGTGGTTGTGTGTTGTTGTGTGTTGTTGTGTGTTGTTGTGTGTTGTTGTGTGTTGTTGTGTGTTGTTGTGTGTTGTTGTGTGTTGTTGGGTGTTGTTGTGTGTTGTTGTGTGTTGTTGTGTTGTTGTTGTGTGTTGTTGTGTGTTGTTGTGTGTTGTTGTGTGTTGTTGTGTGTTGTTGTGTGTTGTTGTGTGTTGTGGTGTGTTGTTGTGTGTTGTTGTTGTGTGTGTGTGTTGTTGTGTGTGGTTGTGTGTGTGTGTTGTTGTGTGTTGTTGTGTGTTGTTGTGTGTGTTGTGTGTGTTGTGTGTGTTGTGTGTGTGTGTTGTGTGTTTTGTGTGTTGTGTGTTGTGCGTTCTGCGTTGTGCGTTGTGCGTTGTGCATTGTGCGCTGTGCGTTGCGCATTGTGCGTTGTGTGTTGGTGTTGTTGTTGTTGTTGTTGTCGTCGTTGTTGTTGTTGCTGTTGCTGTTGCTGTTGTTGTTGTTGGTGTTGGTGTTACCCCTGCAGCGTTTTTGCTCGGTTCCGTAGTGGCCGAAAATCGTCAAATCGGTGGTGTTTTCGCGTGTTTTTGCAACTCTCGGAGCAAAAAAACCCGTAAATACCGATGTTTTTGGCGGGCCGGAAGCCCAAAACCACAGTATTTACGATGTTTTTTGCCTCTGGTAGTAAAAAGCACGGTATTTACAGTGTTTTTTGGCCGGCACCTAGCAAAAACACTGGTATTTACGGAGGTTTCACCATGTAGCAAAATGTGGTTTCTTGATCCGAAAAGAACAAAAATACTGTAAATTACAATGTTTTGAGTCTGCTCTTAGGGTGCGTGGGAGGTGTGGAGGGGGGGGGTACTAAAATGACTAGCAATCTCCTGAAGAATCAGGTAACGGGGCTGGCCGCCCTCCCCTTTACTTCGTAAAGTAAAACTCAAGGTAGCCCCTCTGGAGCTACCTTTCGTGATTATTCACATCATCAAATGATTTGTGATGGTGTGCCAGTGGAGCAAATGACATTGCATAATCAACATGTGTCATGTTTGGGATACAAATGGATGGGTACAAAATGCCACTGATCAAACCATTGGAAAAAGGAGAAATGATGAACCAACTGTGAGGTCTGGCATTTTTTTTGGGGGGTGCACACACACAGATATATATATATATATATGTATAATTAGTGTATTGTATTGTAGTGTATGATATATATATATATACTAACTGTTGTAGACCCTGGGGTCTGACAATATCAATTCCACATGAACGATGCATATCAATTTCTCCTACTTTTTTGGAATTTCCGAAGGGAAAAATCTCATCACACCCAGCTGATGGTCCCAGCCTCACTTTCCCACCCCAGCTGAGTATCTGGTCTGATGGCAGTCGAAAAATCTCCACGTTCCCAGCCTTTGCAGTATCAGCAGTAGCAGCCAAAGTATTGCCAGAGGTCAGTGTCACAAATCTCCTGACAACCGCGCACGCTTCAGCGTATAGTATAGTTACATGGTGTGTTTTCCGAGTTGACGTCGTGGAGGTGACTCTTGCGGAAACGTGGAGAAGTGATGACATATTTTCTGGTAGTTCAAAGCTGGCAAGGGAGAAAAAAATGTGTTGTAACTCATCTTCAAGGGGAACATTCTCTGCAACATGGAGATCGTCCATTGCCAAGTTAGATCACCAGAGGGCAGAGTACTAAACATAACTAGTGTCCCTCCCGGAAAATCTGGGTTATTACAATATGTATCACTTGTTTCTTGCTTCACCCTTAATCAACCAGGATTTATCAAAATCCTGTCCTAGAGATTCCATGACATCAACCCGTATCACTAAAAAAGATCCAGATTATATTTGCACCCAATATAAATCACCACAATCACAATAATCACTATAATCATTATAGTCAGTGCTGACATTATTATATAATTGATGAACTGATTATATTTGCAAATTTTCACTGAATTTTCGCTGACATTTGCACTTTTTGATCTCCTTGTTTTGCAGTGCTGTAGCGTGAAGGTCGCCGGCGAAATCTTCAGCACCATTGCTGACGCCAGATTTGTGACTGCATGAATACAGCACCTGGAAAAGGGGAGATTTTGTTGGATGATGCGGGATTTATAGCTGATTTCTGTACTGGTTGGTGGTATAAGTATACCTACCCCTCTGAAAAATATTAGTCATTGGCCAGTTGGGGTTACTATTCCCAATAGATGGAAAAGTAAAAAATGTTCCAAACCACCAACCAGTGTAGTTTTATGACGATTTTGTTGCTTTATAACTGGATGTTACCACCAAGTATGGGGAAAATGGTTGTTTAATGGGAATGGACCCAGCCCGTCAACTAAGTTGGGTCTATAATTACTGGGACCAGTTATATA